TCACAAATTTAAATTTTGTTTGTTTGTCAAACCAAAAAATATATATTTGGTACTTGTTATTTTTAAGGTATTTCGTATTAATACAATCAAAACATAATTTATTAATTTGAGCTTTGAAAATAGTTATCATGCAACTAAACAAGATTATTTTCATAACCAATTATTAAATGAACAATTTTTAAACAAATTCTCTTGTATACCATTATTGTATTTTGCAATACTATCAACAACAACATTTCAAAAGTCCAAACAGGCCAAACAATACTGTTTTGCATAACTCTTACTTAATATAAATAATATTTAATATCATTCACTTGTTTTATTGAATTTTAATGATCATATATATTAGGTTTACATTGAATATATATTTACCATTTCCACCAAACGAAATTGAAATAAATTAAATAAATACTAAAACAAAACTTATCCAATATTGCGATTAATATTATATACAAATTTTATTTTATACTATACAATTTAAAAATTGCACTGGTTTCTCTTTAACACTTCACTATTAATATAATAATTTGATTTACTTTTAAAAAATAAATTATAAATTTGTTGTTAATGTTTATAAAAAAATATGATTATGACTAGTTAGAAATTATTGAAAAAAAATCTAAAAAAAACATTGCACAAACTTATCAATTTATTTACAGACCTTTGTACAATTGTTTAGGCAGTATATTTTCAGCATTGCGATGAAATGTACTAATAACACGTCGATTACAATTTTGTGATGTTAATTGTAACGTCCAACTGTCATAAGTAAATGCTCTGAAACAAAAATTGTTAAAGTTAAAGATATAATAATATAAATCATTCAAATATTATTCAATACTTTAATACATTAATATTAAATATAATACTTTGGTATATGATGTTCGATAAAATGCGTATTGATTGATGATCGAAAAATCTGTAGAGGCAATGTTTTCACTGAAGTAATAGCTTTTATAGGAGATGAATCTCCAAGATAATAACGCAAAGCATTTGTAATGACAGGCATCATACTTTGTGTAGTTATATTTAACATAGATTCAGTGACAGCAGCTAAATCTAAAACTGTATGAACTCTACATAACCAAATCATCCATGAGTTTAAGGTTGTACACCATTCTGAATAATCAATATTACAAAATCTAAAAGAAATATAACATTAATTAAAAATATATAAAATTAAATATATTACACAATACTTACTTATTATTCATTTCTAATTTTAAGTGATCTGCTAAAGCTATTTTAGAAACTAAAAAGGCTTGAGTGTAATCATTTTTAAGTTTTTCAATTCCAATTTCAATTAATAACTGTACAGGGTCATAGAGTTTTTCTGGATTAGATGCTGTATTTCCTGGTAATGATTTTAATATTTGAGCTAATCGTGTACCATTTGTTGCTTTAATCTATTTTAATAACATATTATTACAATATATAAATCAATGGTTTATCATTATTAATGTCATACACACCAATGGTTTGAAAGTTTCATTTCTTACTGCTTTGTACAAATGTTTGAAACATTCGATTAGATCATTATATGATTTGCATTCTGTATAATATTTAAATTAAATGTTAATTTTAAAAACATGTCATTATTACTTAGTACTAACCCAACAAATAGGTCCAAAGTTTATCAGTGAATTCTTGTTGAATACATTCTGCAGCAATAACATCTCTGACACATTGACAAAATAGTTTTTGATCATTGTATTCTTGTTCTCCAAACTTACCTCGTTTGTACAATGTAGAGGATATGCTTTGCAACATAGCAGGAAACATTTCAACAATTTGTCCATTAGCACTACCTCTTATATCACCCTTTCAAATTACACATAAGTTATACATCCAAATAAATAGTGTTCAAAAAATATTTACTTGAAATTGAGGAAACACAATGTTCTGTCTATTCGTTAGACATTCATCTTTTAAAAATGTTAATTGTTCTAGAAGATCCTCTAAGAATAGTAATTGGTGCCATAATGGGTGTAATGGACTAGTTTCATGGCCTAATGTACACTGGACATTCTATAAAATAAATATTTATGAAAAATAGATAATTAATATTTGTTATTATTGGCATGACTTACAGTATTTTGAGAGCACCTGTCGATTTTAGTATTGTGACATTTCATGATAAGGTGCACTGGTACAGGCACATAATACAACATTTAACCTTTACATTTTTGATAACTTATTCTTAATATACCTTTCATTGTGAATATTGTTATAGAAATAACTAATTGAGTATATTATAGAAATTTTAAATTTAAAGAGATAGAAATTTCCTTTTTATTGAGTGAAGGAGAAACTAGTTTAAGATGTACATTATTGGTCCCATGCAACAGGTTTCAATCTTACACTAATACACTATTGCTCCTAAAATTAATTCAATTATGCAGTTTAAACACATAGACCTATTTGCTAGACTACTGGAGCATGATGTATGTTTAATACCAATGGACATATGGACATAGAGTAGAATACAACAAAATATAATACTTCTACAAACAGACCAAAATTATTATTTATTTACTTACATCTAACACAACAAGATAATCATTGTTATGTCAATTAATGTTGTGATGTTATAACATGAAACTTTACACTTGTTGATTATTCTACATTGTTTACTTTTTTAATAACTTTGTCATAAGCAGGAAATTATTTTAATTTTTTTTTTTGGGGGGGGGGGGATAAAATAACTCAAATTTTAAAGTAAGTGCACTATACACAGGAGGCTCTGCACTATACCTGTAGTCCAATATTTTGTAATTGACAACCAAATTTAAAAATGTATACAAACACTAGAGGCCACCAAAAGAAAAAAAAATTTAATTCACATTTTATTTTATAACAAACAACATGTTATCACATTAAAGATTCATATAAATGTATTATTATTAATATTAATAGTCAGCAATATGATCAGCTACTGTTATCTTCTACTGCCTTATTGTTGTTTTTTTAATATATTTAATAAATAAGTCTACTTAAGTTCTAAGGATGGCCAAAAAGACAGAGGGAAAAAGATTAGACCACCCTTTCTTGGACCCAACAAGCACTTTTCAATTTATTGGATGAATAGTGAATATCTAGTTCATGTTTATATAATTATATCATTTATATCATATACTTACAATAAACGATTCTGTTGACATAAGAGGAGCAAAAAGAGATGGTCTTCGCCAGCTAAGATTAAGTATAACCATGCCTGGACCATTTTCAATAAATGTGAACTCTTCAGTATTAGTAGCTGAAGTCAAATTTATAACTGCAGACACTTTAGATTCTAACTAGATTTAATAACCATAATTAATATTTTTTCTAATGCACAAGAATAAAACAATATTTTAATTAAGCTAAAATATATTTACAATCATTGATCCAACTTGAGGAAATTTTTTATGTGTTTCTATCATATTTTGTACAGAAAGCTCATCATGTGCCACATCATTATGTCCTTTATACTCGCCCCAGTAACGAGAATGCCATCCTTCAGATACATCACCACCCAATAAAATTGTATCGTTTTTCAATCCATCACATAATATAAAAAATGGTACACTTAAAAACTGTTCATCCTTTAATTTTAAGTACACCAATCGCCTAAAATATAAAAATCAATAAAAAATATATTAAAGTATTAACTGATTGCTGATGCAAGTCAGATGCAACTCATCTTGATATGCAAGCCTTTTTAAAAGGGTTGCTGAATTATTAAAGTTTAAGTTTAAAAGCATGCCAACAATTAATCATCACTACTGAAAAATTAAATTCATTAATGATTAATTGTCTTAATCTACTTAATAAAATTAATAATATATAAATATAATAATATTCAAACAATTAGGTTTAATTCAATAACTGTACCTTGCTTGAAGCAAATTTAAGGGAATATGACTATCCTCTGGTTTATTTATTTCTACTTCAACTTTTTGAGCTTTTATTGGACTGAAAGGGCATTCTAGCGGATTTCCAGTTAATTCTAATAACAAATAATAATAAATTAATACAACTCTAATTACCTACATAACTGAAATTTAATCTTAGGTACCAAATTCATCATAATCTTCTTCCTCAGAACTTGAACAATTTTTAGCAACAGCGCTCACAACTTTTGGGGTATGTTTTTTCTAGAAAAATTAAAGAATTATTATTTATTAACATAGTTAGTAGGTATACAAAATAATTATACTTACATGAATGTAGCCAACTATGGGGTTTTCAACACCACTTAAACAAAATGGGCGAATATATGAGATAGTATTAGGATCACATTGATTCAGAACAAATTCAGGATGTAAATTCACTTTTCCATGGCAAAATTTAAGAAAATTGTTCAGATCCATCTAAACATTAATAATATTGTGAACAAATTAACAAACATTAGCTACCACAATAATTTATAATTCAAAAGCAATTCAATTTTACTAATGAATACACCTATATTTATACATTAAAATACAATACAATAATGGTACTAAAGTTAAATGTCTTTGAACACTACTTAATATAAATACCTAAAGCAGTTATAAATGTACTAATTAGTACTTTAGTTTGTAAGTACTTACATTTAGTTTTGAAATAAAAAATTGTTTTACAAAAAAATAATTCTTCTAAATATATATTATGTCTGCTTCTACGTTTACAACACTTCAGTTATCTAAGTATCGTTGATCAATTTCAATAGTCTCTAATGAACAGGTGCGTGCCTCTGTCCAGCGTGTTCCTGACTCCTGGCTTTTTGTCAGAACTTAGAAAAGAATAGGGAATAAGGATTGATATTTATTATTATTTTGATAACTTGAAATTTGAAGAATAACATAATGAATAAAAAAAATGTATAAAATATTATTTGTGTCTCAAATCTGAGATTGTATTGTTCGATAAAAATAAATTGGCGGCAAAATCAATTAGAGGTTAATATTGATAATATAATATTTGTTCGTGATAGTAAAGGCACAGAATAATTCTGTGGTGATATGGTGGTCTTAGTCGTTATCAATATTTTTCAAAGGATCATGAACTGATCACTGAATAAGAATTTACATTTAGAATTCGCAATATCAAATCTCAAACGATGTTATTTGTTTTGAGGAAATTAGAAATTTTAACGGTCTGAACTCTGAAGTCTGAACTTTACTTTAACCACAATAATTACTGTACAGTCGTGTATTTTAATTTATATCAAGCTTAAGACTGGAATTAAAGAGTTTTAAATTTACGGTAAATAGTGGTAATTGTGAAATTATTTACATTTTACATTAACAATTAATTGTAATTACCAAAAATTGTAGTAACAGCCATTAATATTAATTGTTAAATAGGTACTAGAGTTTATCTTTAATCCTAACCTGCATTCATTTTCATAAATATGGCTGTTAGCTATTTCGATGAAAAAAGTGGTATTATACCATGTAATACAGAATGGGGTAGATGGTGGCAAACTGTGGATGAATTACATATTGAAGTAACACTGTCAGTTAATACAAAATCCAAAGATGTAAAAGTCAATGTCACTAACTCAAGTATAACTTGTCAAATTTTTGGAAAAACCTTATTTTCTGTTAGTTTGTTACTATTGTTTCTAGCGCCATTGTATTGTTTTGTTACATATCTTTGTTCCCCAGGGCAATTTATTTAGAAAAGTACGTGCTGACGACACTTTATGGACATTAGAGGACAATGGTACTTTGTTAAACATTGTATTAACAAAAGCAGATTCTTCAAATAAAGAAAATGTTTGGGAGGCTATAATGGAGGATGGATCATTTAAAGCAGATCCAATAACATATATTGAAATGATGAAAAAAATGGATCTAGAAAAGCTTCAAATGAAGGTATGTCAACTAATAGAATATTTAAAATAATTAAATTAAAAATTAGTTGACATCTATGTATACATTTTACAACAAAAAATAAGAAAAATCTAACTTCACATAATCAGATGAGTTATTAATATTTTCATTTGATTTTATGTGTAATTTACATAATTTACATAGTGTAAATCTTTAAGATATTAACTACCTAATACAATTTATATTTAATAGTTTTGTGTTTGAAATGGAATCAAATAGTTAGAATTCATTTTATTCTAGGTATTTATTTATTTATTATTACTAAAATATAATCCTTGAAATTCGTTGCCATTGGATTTTACAACATGTGCATAATTGAAAATTCCTTGTAATATAAATTAATATTTTAAGGAATATTTACAATATCTATAACTAAACCCTTAATAACTTTGAGAAAATTGATAGTTGATTTTTCTCAGTTTTTATTGTTATTAGATATTTAGGTACTATTAATAAATCAAACATGAAAACAATAATTATTATAATATCTTGTATTTTCTTTTCAGATTCTATAACCCTTAAAATTGTCTTTATAATTATTGAAAATAGGTAATTAGAATTGTTTTAATGTGATTAAACTTTTTGTGATATATCTACCTTACAGATTTCACTCTAATTAACCAGTAATATTTAATAATAATATGCAATATTTATTTAACTAACAGTTTATAACTTAAATATTTAAAAACATCGTACACATAAATATTCATGTTTTATATTTTATAGTATCATAATAAATATTATATATTTGTATACTTAGGAAACTAGACTCAAACGTTTGTTTAAAATCCTTTTTATTAGTACTAAAAATGTTCTTATACAACAATTTTTGTGAAATGCATTACTGAATGCTGATAATTTATTAAGTGAATTCAAATTGCATATTAAAATAATATACAAAATGTGTTGAAAAATATGTATGGTCTTATTTTACTGCATATTGTATGAAAGTAAATATAAATATAAATCTATTTTTAACTATAATATTTCTAGATAAAAATAAATAATAATACAGTACTATTTTAACAAATATACTCATATCATATTATTATTAACTAATTTATTTTTTATAATATTATCTATTTGATCTATACATAATAACACAATTATGATGACCAAAACGATCTGTTTTAATTTGGCTTACTATACCTGCTAAACTCTTATATGATACAGTTTTTATTTGTTTTATTAATTATAAAAATATGTTAATTAAATATTTACAATTTTGTTTTTTTAACTCCAAGAAGATTGTATTAAAAATTTGTTATAATAATCTCATGCACTCAAAAATCCAACGCTATTCTATATTAACTTACTATAGATACTATATTAATATGTATTGTTGAGATTTAATAAAAATAGTTTTGTATGTTGAATAATATTATTTTCATAATCAAAAATTAAAAATTTTTTAATTTTTTGGGCTTTTGAATTATGTTTTAGTACCCGGGAATGGACTTCAGCAGTTCAAAACTTCAGAAAGATTATGACTCTATACCAGGACTCAATCAACCATAGATTTGTATACCTAGATTCTAGACTGTATTTATATGATTAAATTGTTTTTCCTTAAACTACAAGAATCTAAATAATTAAAATGGCTGATTTTTTTAGAACTGAAATTGGTTATGTTAATTATTTATGTTTATTTATCTTAATGTAGAAATTAACACTCCTATTGTACCTATTATTTTAATTAAAACTCATTGTTAGTTTCTATTTATGCCTATTGCTAAAATTGACGACGTGAAGATTCCTAATTTATAGTATTAAAACCATTATAACCAATTGAGTCTTTTTACCAATGATTTATGCATATTTGTTTATTAGTACGTTTTGTATTATCCATAAAATGAAATAAAAAATAAATATTTTCTTATTTTAGAAATTAGATTTTGATAAATAAAATTATGTCTTGATTATCAGACATAATTAATAAATATTGACTATCCATTTACAAATTGTATATTGTAGTATATATTACATTAATTAATTTATGTAAGGATTAATATTTTTTGACGTGAAACATCTAATGCGGTGGGTGAGTCTGGCTGTCGGTGTGGCGATGCGTTTAGCCGCATGTGCGAAACATAGATTGCACCTTTAAAATAAAGAATAAGTTTTCTTCAAAAATCTGAATCTGAATGTATTTGGGATTTGTGTGACCCACTATTGTATGAATGCTTCAGTAACAGTGCCAACATAATGGAGTGGGAGTAGTAGGATTTCCTCAAGCCATTTTTCTTCAAATATCTTGTATTGTATTCTGTAATCAGTGCCATAGCGAAAACTATTACCTCTAATTAGTGGTGGAAGTGACCTTAAAATAAGTGGAGGGATGGAAAATGTGAATTGTAAAGAGTGGAGGGATGCCATCCCACCGTATCCCGCCCGCCTCACACTTTGACCACTGCCTCTAATGCAACATATTCTAATGTAACCACACCCATAGGCCATAGGCCTATACGACATTATTCCTAATACTATGCCCATATCTACCAACCAACAAGTTGAATTATCACTTAGTTGATCACTTAGTTAGTTAGGTTTTTGAGTGTTATAAAATGTATACACTATACAAATTAAAAGAAATTAAATTCGGATAAATAATGGATATATTTTATTATTTTTAAATTTACCTATGATTTTTTTATATTATTCATATTTTAATTCCCGAATTTAAAAATGTTATTGCACATAAATGCATATTTCTGAATTTTTAGTGCTTGAAGTTCGTACTTACAAGCCTAACTAATGATATATTAGAATCAGTAGGGGTATGGCAAACTTGAAATTGGTCGGTCTAATATTCAAATCTAATATTGCATCCACCCACCCAAAAAACTGAAATTCGATAATATACAAATACTTGACAATTGTTTGCGAAATTGTTCAAGAAATTAAAAAAAATGAATAAACAATCAAAAATTAGATCTAAGTACACTGTACACCACATTAATTTCATTTAAACACCAATAATGGGAATGAATGCACTTAACCACGATGTGCGAATTTTTTTATTTTTTTTTGGTACTTCCTTAAATGAACTATTTAAGTACAATGGTGTTGCGTATAATTATATTTACCATCAATTGTTCTTATTGTTCTTTTTTTTTTGTAACAGATCGAAAAAAATCTTAAGAACCAAAAAAAAAATTACAATGGTGCAGTCAGAATATGTTGGTCGGACTTAGTTTCGAAGTTAAGGCCTTTGTAAGTTAGCAATTTTGCGTTTCTTAAGCATCAAGCATCACTAGTTTACTGAGTATTACAAATATTGATGTTTTTTTTTTGTTACTTGTGTACTTCAACGATTTAAAAATGGTGGTGCGATCAGAAATTGTTAGCTAGGCAGTTAAGTGATTTGCAAATTTCCAGAAATGTAGTTATGAATATGATTATGTTTTAAATATTGATCAATGTTTCAGTGTTAAATTAAACTTGTAGTAATAAATGATCCAAATGACAAGTATTTTATATCCAAAAATATTACAGCTTACAGGAGAATAAACTGAACTAAGTTATACACTTAAATTTCGCTATAAAATATGAGTAATATAAGTATTTATTCTAGTGACTGCCTTCGACTACCGGCTCGGGTCGTACAACTCGAGGTCCTATGGAACTCTCGTAACATAGACATTTAAACGTAACTAAAGTATTTAGTATATCTTAGTATGATTTGTAATATGTTCCAAGGGCCAAGGCCGAAGTTGTCCACTTCATATAACAGTGGTCAGTGATATAGAAAAGTATAGTTTATTATCAAAGATATAATATAATGTATTGCTAAATAACATTTAAAAAAAAATGGTTTTATAAAAATCACATTAAGTATACAATATGGGTATTATATATTTCATAAAATGGATCCTTTAATGTATTTTCGTCAAAATTCACTGTTTGTTCATGAAATTAGTAACTCCACTATGTGGATGCGCCAATTGTGTTGTAAGTCACATATTTACATTTCGGTGGCGGTACCTATATACTTTTCCAAACATTTTTTTTATTTACATTTTTTTTAACTTTATTATGTAGGCTGTTGAAAAATGAAATCTATGAACCACTTACAGACTATGCATTAAAATGTCAATGTGCTTAGCACTTTATCCAGCTGACAACATGAAATAAGGATTTCAACTTATTAAATCCTTTGTTTCTTATCATAATGCGCAAATGAATGAATGATTTTTTAATTACTACCAATACCAAAGGTAAATATTAGTATAAATTTTATTATTTACAACTAAGACTAAAAAAGTATTATATTATATGTTATTTGTATTTAAACTGCTTTGTGTTTTTAGAAATTAGTTACAGAAAATTGGGACAAACATTGTATTAGTAAATGGGTTGCCAAGAAGAACAAACAATAATGTGGAGAGTTTTCACAATTCATTAAGATGTACATTTTCTGTTACACACCCAAACCTATGGGTTCTTCTTAGTAAGTATATGTTCCATATATTGAACTGAATGGATGGTTAGGTATTCATAATTCATTTGGTATAATTAATATAGGTTTCGCCCAATATATTATTGCTAATTCACCCTGCGGCCTGCACAAGTGCACAAACGTAGTGCATCCGAATTACAAGCAGAAAAAAAATCATAAATAAGAATGTGTAAATTGCACTTGGATTTCCCTAAAGAAACAGGTTTTTGTTCCTTACATCTTGTATACCGTGCCGGGAATTGGGATTTTTTCTAAGTTTTGTAGGTTGGCATAAGCCTTTTATTTTTTTTCTTATCAGATTTGCTGTTATCAGTGGTTAACGAAATCGGGAAATCTGTACCCGTCCCTATCCAAAAAAATGTGCCGATTTTCTGTGTCATAGTGAAATTTTTGAGAAATGTCTATTTTGCTATTATGTATCAATGGCATAAAGATTTATAGTTAAACCAGAGCGATTATTATTGTATTCAATTATTTTTGAATTAATATGAATAACTTGGTATTTAATGTAAGGCATCATTCTCGGAATATTAAACACATTCAGTATTTGAATATTAAATTGTACTCAGATTCAGCAGTCAGAGTACGTTTTGCTCCAAGTCCTACTGGTAGATATTTTATCACCATTATTTATATTTAATTTATTTAAAATTAGATGTAAATGTCATTCTATCATTTTTATCATATTTTATTGTTATATTGACTACTGAAAAATAATTAAAATATTTAAAAGTAAATTACCTAATCTGAGAAATTACTTTTTTAGGGCAGTTACATTTAGGTGGATTTCGTACTGCACTTTACAATTATTTATTCGCTAAATCAAAAAATGGTAAATACATATTAAGAATTGAGGATACTGATCGTACAAGAGTAGTGGACGGTGCGGTAGAACAACTTCAAGAAGATTTAAAATGGCTGGGAATTGAATTTGATGAAGGACCTAGTAATAATGGACCATATGGTCCATATATTCAATCTGAACGCCTGAAAAATTACCAGTATAAATTAAATGTGATATTTTGTAATTTATACAATTCATACTCGCGTTGTTTTAAGGAGAAGAACACAGCAATTGTTAAGTAATGGACATGCCTACAAATGTTATTGTACTGAGAAAAGATTAGAGCTTTTAAGAAGAGATGCATTACGTACTAGAACTATTCCCCGCTACGACAATAAATGTAGAAGTTTAGATGACGAAGATTTAAATCTCAATGAAGGGAAAAAATATTGTATCAGATTCAAGGTAGGTACACTTTTGATTTTTCTAATTTAATTTTTAATCATTAATCATATCTAATGTATAAAAAATTAATATTTAGTTGAACCAAAGTGATGGTTTTTTCAATGATCTAGTATATGGTCGCATTGCAAGAAATGTGGCAGCCGTTGAAGGAGACCCAGTTATACTAAAATCTGATGGTTTTCCAACCTATCATTTGGCTAATGTTGTTGATGATCATGATATGAAAATTACTCATGTCCTCAGAGGTGTTGAATGGCAACCATCAACATCTAAACATATATTACTTTATAAGTAAGTAATTCAGCTATTATAAATAGAAATTATTGTTTATGTATTTCTAATAATTTGATTATACCTATTACAACATTATTTAAATATTCTAGAGCATTTGGTTGGAATCCGCCAAATTTTGGACACTTACCATTGTTGATCAATAAAGATGGTACAAAACTTTCAAAGCGTCAAAATGATATAACCATCGATGCATATCGTCAAAAAGGCATTTATCCTGAGGCACTATTAAATTTTGTTATTAGTTGTGGGGGAGGATTTGTTCAGAGTAAAGAAACAAATAATGTATACATAAAACCTCTATCAGAACTTATTTCTAAAGTGGGTATGAAATATATTATATCAAAATTAAAATACTTTAATTTTTGCGATTTTTGTATAGTTTGACGTAAGCTTAATAAATTCAAATTCATGTCAAGTCCCTCTGGATAAGCTTGGATATTTTAATCAAGCTCAATTAAAAATTGAAATCAACACAGATATAGGAATGAAACAAACAACTGAAAAATTAAAAAATATTGTTCAAAATACATTTTCTAATGAGTAAGGTCACTGTTTTCTAGTATATATATATTTTTATTGTTCTACTTAATTCAGAGATTGATTTATAGAAACATTTAAAAATATTTTGATTTATTTACTCTATATTATTATAATGTAAATAATAAATGTACATATTTATTTTTAGCAAATCAGTAGAATTAGATTTATCTGAGAATCATTTAAACAATATACTTAGGTGGAGTGTTAATAGAATAACAAATATTAACGAACTAATACATGAAAACTATAAGTTTATTTGGTTAAAACCATCAGAATCAGCTATAAAATCTATGGATTATGATACAGGTGATGAAATATTTTTACAAGATAATAACATAAACAATTATTTATTAAACTAATAACACACAGTTTTTTTTTTTTTTTATATAGACATAGTAATCAAACTAAGACATAATTTAATAAACATAGATGAGTTCACTATTGATAATTTAGGAACAGAATTAAAAGAATTTTCAAAATCAAACAATATTGTGTATAGTAATTTAATGAAAATGCTACGCAACATTATCAGTGGATTGAAGGCTAGTAAATTTATAATTAGATTATTATTATTTATTTAAAAATCATTTTTATTATTTATATATTCTTCTCTGCAGCAAGGTCCAGGTGTTAGTGAAATAATGGTAATACTTGGCAAAGAAGAAGTGATAGCCAGATTAAATAAAGCCTGTTTAAAGGACTGAACAACATCTAATTTCACTAATAAATATGTTTACTTTTAACAGTTATGTACTAACAAATACATTATGTGTTAACTTTGTTGAGTAGTTATTTACCCTTGTCATCTGGTCCCTATAAATAAAAATAACATATATTGTAATGAAATAAATGATTAATTTTCTTTTAAATTTACATTTTTTCCATTAAAAACCAATTGTTTAAAAGAATCCAATGGTCCTTTCACATAGTCAATCAATGAAAAGAATAGTTCTTTCACATCAGGTTTGCTACTATCTTCTGAACTGTCTGACTGGGACTCAGCTTTAGGTAGTGGCAATGATGGTAACTCGAAACCAGTTAAATCCTTGGTTACTAAAACAATAATATATCCAGATTAGACAGTTCATTCATACATACAAGGTAATTTACCAAGCATATTCACTCCTCTTTTATCCTTCAATAACGCATGTTGTAACATTTAGATTTATGACATTTTTTTTCAAATGAAACCACACATTTTTACTGTAAATTGTTGCTGCATATTATATGTATACATTGTTTTAATGTTGATACATTTAATCGAGATTCATATTAATATAATATTTAGTTTATTATGCATCCTTAGTATATAGATAGATATTAATAACTGAAGCGACTTGTTCAATTTAGATAGATAAACATTATCAAAAAAAATCATTTGCTTCCATTTTACAGAAGAAAATAATGGTTCATAATTCAAAAATTAAGTTTATACAACGACACAACAATCCTTAAACAATAAAAAATTCGAAGTTTTTGAAAATATGGTCCTTATATTATATATTTCACTAATTTAAAAATCAGAATATGCATTTATTCATTATTTAAGGATACAACGAGAGTATATATGTTGGATTAAGCTCACTGCATGATATAATTATTTTACTACCAACCATTATTTATCAAATGATAGGAGACAATTGAATAACGTTTGATGATTTTAGTAGCTTCTTCAGATTCTTTTGGATAACCAACGTAAAATGCAGCTGTTGCTCCAGTTGTGGAATAAACTAGCTTTTTAAATTTTCCTTTTCTAGCTGCTATTAATAAACCAGCCAAACCGCTTCCTGCTACAAATCCAGCTCGGAGGGCAGAATTATTTTCTTGCCTCAAATCGCCCACAAAAGCTTAACATTTAACATAAATAATTGATTACAATACATAATACAAATTTAAATTTTGGTTTGATGTGATACTAAGCTTCTAAGAAATAGCATGTCAAATGTAGATATGATCAATATAGTTTTGTTACTTTTAATCACAAATTAAGATATATCTTAATTATATACATCATAATTAAGATATATCTTAATTTGTGCTTTTAATATTAAGTTAATTGATTTATTATTAAATAACATAAGAAAATAATAATTTGAATTCTCTCGTTGGCTATTATTTTAACATATATTACATTTGAAAGATAAATAAGAAAGATAAACATAATAATGCTTATAAAAAATATAAAATATAAATAAAATTTAAAAATCAGATCTCAGCATTTGTTAAATGTATTTAGAAGTATAAGTTTAAGGTCTAAAAAATCTAATCATATTTTTTATTGTGTACATGCATAGGGTTGCCATCTGTCCCGACGTCCTGATAAAAGACTAAAAGTTAAAAAAGTCCCAATTCATGAATCATGATCAAAAACAAAAAAATTTTTTTCAACTTGTTACTTGTTCTTCTAAAAATCTTGTAAGACTAAACGTATATGATTAAAATCCAATGAAATCGTTATTGTAATCAATTCATGAAATTTTTTAGTAACGTAGGCCACGGACAAACGGTTTAACCGCGATAAGTCGACAATTGCCAGTCATTCGCTTTATTTTCTAGACGGAAAATATTATACAAAACACCCCGATTGAAAGGAAATCTACCAAATGTATTTGCTTGCAAACAAATATGAAAATAAAAATTTTTGTTTCAAAATTGATCATTTTTATACACTTGATCCAAGAATTCCTAGAACGTTCCGACGAAACCCTAGCCAAATATGGTAACCCTATACATGCATATAATATTTTAATGTAGTTAACAAACTAGTCTTATATAATGAAATACTATACGGTGGGTACCGCTTAATGTGATCACTTTGGTGCTGGTAATTTTGATACTATTAATCGGTTGATTCTATAAAACATTTACAACATTTTTTTCATAATTCAATATTTTAATACAATTACATATTTATTTGTAATTACATATTTAATGTGACATACATAATAAATGACACAAGTACATGACGCACAAAGATAATTGATTAACATAATAACGTACAACGATATACATTATACTGTCATAATAATAAGTTCAAAAATAAAATGGGTTTTATAAATTAATCAGTTTGAAATACCATAAAACGATAAGAATGTTCATAAAAGTGATTCAATTATCCAGTACTTAGTGATTCTAATAAAAGGTCTATTTAACATTAGTAACATACAATTTGGTTTGGGATTTTCATTTTTGATTCTATAAACCAGTGATCACATTAAGTGGAACTCACTGTATAAGATTAAAATAAAAATTTACTCAACATTTACCTATGATTATAAAGTACATATAAATAAGAGATGTTTCTAATATTTAATAATATTATATATTATTTGAAGAAATAATTAAAGCTTATTTTAATCTCAATGTGTTTTCTGTAACAACATCTTGGTAAAATAAATATTGAATATATTGTGAAACTTGTGACAACTAAATATACTAGAATGTACTGTCAAAGTATCATACAAATCTTATTAAAATAATGGAGGAAGTCACAATAGTCAGATAATCCAGGTTTATATGTAGACAATGTGACATGTTAAAATGCTCACCTAAGATTTTAAGTACAGTTTAAAGTGGCTCCACACTAATAGATTACATACATGATTACTTGACCTTAGTACAAAATGTATTGTTTGTGATGCCAAAAATCTATGAAATTTGATACTGGTTCAAAACAAAAAGTTTTGACTTCATTATGTTTGTAGTAGCATTAATAGAGTATTGCATTTAGTTAGGTACCAACTAGAATACATAATCATATTTTTACGTACATAAAAAAGTATTAAATATTAACACTAAGGAAGTAAATTTAAGTAGGAGAGTATTTACATTCTGTGTGGCTGGCCCCAGTCTGAATAAAAATGTATATTCTATCCTTGACTTTGGACCATTGTTGATTTAGGCTGAGAATTTCTTCTCTAACTTTTTGAATTGAACCTAATGCTAATGTTGGTTGCCAATTATCTTCTTTTTCGCTGCAATTTAAATTATCATCTTTAATGTATGAATTTGAATTATCCACATACATTATACTTAATATTTGTCAGTAGTACTATTATACAATTATGTAGGTACTCACATTTTCTTTTCTTTCGTTTCATCAGGGTATATTGATAAATCACTAGGTCTGACCAGTTTGGGCTCTTGTTCATCCTTGGCTAATACCACTGGCATTACTGTGTAAGCATAGGAGGTTAATAAAAACCCATTGGTTGCCGTCTAATATTAGAATAGAAATGAACAGTCAAGTTATTAAGAAAACACATTGGAAATGTTTTACATCAATTTTATTTATTACGTAATTAAACTTACTGTATTTTTAATAATACTTTTAAACTTCATTTTTCTTAGATCAATCGCCAATAGAAACCAAGTAGACAAATTATACAACTAAAATACAAGCGGTGCAGAAGAACAAGTAGGTGCAGAAATGAATTACTAATCAAGAGATAATATTTTTTTGAGTAACTTTTGATAAGAATAAAAGTAGACTTTACTATCAGTTGTAGTTGTTGATAACACAACACGCTATTGCACGGTCCGCATTACCGCAGAATAGGACCACTGCTAGGACCATGATTTAAGATAGACTAGTCTATCTTAAATCATGGCTAGGACATACCATAGAACATACGTAGACGTAGGTACACCGCACTAGTCACTATATATAGAGACATAATATTTAATAGAAATTAATGTAGAATCATCAATTCATTTAGGTATCATTTTATATTTTTATAGCATTCTAAAATCAACGTTTAAATTCTATATTAATTAAAGATTAAATGTTTTATTATTTATCACAAATTAACAATTTTTATTAATATTCAATAAATTTATGTCTAAATAAAAAATAGATATTTATTGAATGATAAATAATAAATATGGTTAAAACGTATACTGGTTTAATTTGTAACTGAAAATCAAAATAAGTAGATACTGTGACTGTGAGTATTCCGCATTCGTAGGTATTTCACAGAAATAAATATAATCATTAACAATAACGAATATTAGATAATGTAATTATTACATTATTGTCACGGTGACACGGTCTGTATACCTGGAATTATCCGTAACAAATAACAATATTGACTACAAAGTTATTAAAACTTATAGACAAAATGTAAAATGTAATTTAAGACCTTAGAACTTAATGACTAGATTCCTAATTCAAATTTCAAATACTCGAATGTGATTGATCTTTCACACACATTCGCAGGTTACATGTAAGTATTTATTATTTTTAACATCTCACTTAACCACATAATATGCTAATAATATATTAATATGTATATTACATAGGGTTATATTTATAATTCATCGTAACTTAGATATTTTTATTTTTTAGTTGCTACCTAGCAACGTATCCTTTAATGACCTCTACATATTTCATCTCTTTCAAGAAGTATATTTTTTACAATTTTAAATTAAAAGATGTAGCCGGTATAGGTAATTTTTAAAAGTTCCTGAAGGGATGCCTATCAGATATGTGATACATTTAATTAGTTACTTACCTATTATATATTATCACATTTTTTGCATTGCGATATTAAATCTTACACTATTATAGCAGTACTACATAGGATATAGCTAATTTTTAGTTAATATTTTTAAAACTCGCTGAAATTGGAAACTTTTTTAAATATATAATAAAAATTACTTTTTGAATTGTAAATAGTTATATAATTGGGGATTATACCTAGCTATAGTTATAATATTTGGCGCATAAAGTATCTAAAATTAAATATGATTTTTTGACTCTTTAGCACGATGTAGATCACATTTTTATCTATGGACAATATTACATCTATAGACTTTTCAGTTATATAATAAAAGTGTAGGTATATTGTATTATTATTGTGTCTTACTCTTTACTTTTCACAAAAAAAATCCCAGCTTTCCCAGCTGTTAATGAGGAGCGAGGACCACCAAAACATAGGTGCCCCACTGTGTTATCATCTTATCACCTAATATCAATACAAGCATAATTATAATCACATGAACCTATAAACTAACCCTTGTTAAACTAAATCTGAATGTTAATATCCCAGTTTAAGTAATAAGCGCGAGTTGTGTTGCTTATTCTTATTAATAATTGTAATATAAGTACATTTGACTATAGTTTGTATTAAATATCAAAATAATATATGTTATTTGATTGTATATATTGTATATAATTTTGTTGAACTAAAAACACACATGCAAACTCATTTTTTGTGAAGAAAAACCTGTGAGTGTTTTAAAAATATAAAATCCCATACAACTATTTACTATATTTACAAATTATAAACTATATTCATTTTATGACTTTTAAGATTAAACCTCTCTTTAAATTTCGCCTAAAATGTCATGTTTTTATATCAATTAAGAAATTCCTTTTTAATATTGTATTCTATAGAATTGTATCTTGTTATATCGTTCAAATAATTGTTGAGCTGTAATAATTCAATTAAAAGCTAATAAAAAAAAAAGAAAAGAAATTCCTTTAAGTATCAGTTGTTGATTTCAATAATAATTATCTAAAACAGAAACATTTATAATTTAAATATTACTATTTGAAACTATTGTTTGTTGATTTGATTTGGATTTATACAATATAAAAAAAATGTATGGGATATTATTTTGTGTTTTAACTATTTATTTTTAGTGCTTACTTTTAATGGAATATAAATACCAAGAACAAAATCATACTTACTTTTCAGGTGATTACTTTAATTCAATATACATTATGATGCGGTGGTCAAGAATGCCAAGACACTTTATGTCTGTTGTAAGAATGCAGTCTTCTAGTATAACTACTACTAAACTAGTGCGCCTTGATGAAGCAAAAGTGTCTAATAATATTGTAGCAGCCGCTTTTGAATCATTAAAAGAAATTGATAATGCTAAATCCAAAAAGTCATCATTCTATATTATAAATAATACAATTGATAATGCCACAACAGTCGAAGAAATACTGGCAATATCTGAAATAGGATTGGTCTCTAAACAACATGCACTAAAAGTAATTATTTTCATAGTATAATTTATATAATTATTCAATAATATGCTAGCTTCTAACATATTATTTAACATTTTTTTTTGTATAGGCTGTATCTACTTTAGCTGAATGGGCTAGTTCTGGTCGAGTAAAATTATCAGAATTTGAAGCTGATTTAAGGTTTTTAAAGTTATGTAGAATGTTGGGCAAAGAAAACACAAAAGAAAAAGAACATTTGTTTAGTGATCTATCTACAGTCCTTGGAATTACAGGAGATGATGAAGCTGCCAAATTAATCTCTTCAATAAGTCTACCACAAATGGTCAAAGTAAATAATTGTAGAATATTTTAAATGAGAAAATAATCATACATACTTAATATATTTTAAGGTTTTATCAACTCTTGGTGCTAAGAAAAAACGTTCCACAACATTATTGCGATCACTAGCATTTAACATTGGAAGATGTTCTGAAAAGATGGATATTAAACAATCTGCTGATGTACTTTATGCCTTAGCCATACTTAATTTTCCTGATGAAGTACTTCTAGAAAAAGTTAGTGCAGATGTACGTAGTGTTATGTCTACAACCGATCGGCTTTCAGTTATTGGATCAATAGTAACAAGTATTGGGATTTTACGATACCGAGATCCAGGTAATTTGAAATTTACATAACACACATTTTTTTTCTATGAGTTATAAAATAACACTTTTTAAGTTAATTATCTTGTATAGTTTAAAACTACAGTAATTCAAATATAATACTGGTGGTTAAATGTTTTATTTCATCATAAATATGTGATATTTTTTAATCAACAGTTTTGTAAATTTGTAATGTTATATTTATACAAATCATTTTTTTAATACTTTTGTATGTTATTAGTTAAATTTAATTTTTAAAAAAAAAATGTGTACTTAATTGAATTTACTTCTATAGATTTACTGGAATCCTTATCAACATGGTTGGAAAAACACATTGATGAATGTAAACAGCATATACTAATTTCATATTTATTGACATTAGCATATGTAAATTACAAACCAAATAATATGGACAAAATAATTCAAGTAATTTTTTGTTGATTTTACTTTTTATTTATGGTACAGTTGTACCGAATTAATTTTTAGACTAACTAATTAAGTTTATTTTTAGGTGTTCAAAAATACAAAGCAATTCAATGATGTTGGTAATTTAAACACATGGCTAGATATTATCTGGAGTTTAGTAGTATTAGAAAAAGCAGACAATGAACATTTAGCATCTATTTTATCACCTGATTTTATTTCTAATCTTATGAAATTGAAAGGTAAATAAAAATTATAGAATATTAATTTAATAAGTTGCATACTTGCATACCATTAATGACTTGAACCAAAATTATTCCCAGTGATAAATCAGTAAAATATAATACAAAAAATATATATTTATCTTACTATTGTTTGGCAGTGAATTATTGCTCAGTGCCCAGATATATTTAAATATAAAAAAAAATTAACAATACTTATTATTAAAGATACATTTATTCAGATTTTTCTATATAGGGTGAATTGCCAAGCATGCACACCCCTTTTTTTCTTCAATAATGCAGTTATTAAAATCTGATGTTTGGAGTTAAAAAATATATTTAAAGAGTTTATGTTCAAATTCTTGAGATTTTTTGTACAACTTAAGGTGTGTCATATGGAGACATAAATTTGCATTTTTTTTAATGAGGCCCCCCTTTTTCAGCTGTAAATTATTTGAGCGATAATATTTCTGAAAAATTTGATACGTCAGAATCAAAATTAATACGAGTATAATTAAAGTTATTTAACTTAATGTCCTAGGGATAAAAGGTTTATAAGATACAGGGCTGTTTATGCTCTAACAAAAAAAGTGCGCACACATTTTTTGGCCTCTAAAATGATAATATTATCAATGTTTTGAGAATGCTACCTCCCTAAATAAAGTGCCACCCCAGGCGTGGGCCTATGTCACCTATCCTTTAAGCTTGGCCTAATAAGATATGTATCTATGGTGATTTGAAAATTTTAGTCATTAATATTAATTTATCGAACATCAGTAATTTGTAAAAATGGCCTAAGTAAATACCATTATTAAAATTAAATATTACGTCTATTTTGTATTTTTGTAAAAACCATTTTCTGGGACTATAATCCTTAGTACAAACATTTTAATAGTTAAGAAATTACTCATTTGAATTTTGAACTAAGTACATAAAAATTATCCACTAAATAATTTACAATAAAAAATATGGGTTTTTATTTGAAAATCAGAAATTTGTAAAAAAAATTAAATTGTACAAAAAATTCAAGAATTGAAAAAAAATTGTCTTAGAGTATGTTAAAAAACTCCAAAAATCAGAATTTGAATAAATTCATTATTTAAGGAAATGCGGGGGTGAGGTTGAGCATGCTTGGTGAATCGCCCTGTATAATAAAGTTATAAATAACAAAACAATTATAGATATTATATAACAATTATTTTATGTTTACTAGGTAACAGAGTTGTATCAATAAAATTACTCAATATAAATGGATATGCTAAGACCAAGGAAGATTATAAAGGTACATATTATATTATGAGTTCAGTAGCATTATTATTTTAATACTTAAGGTTTTTTAAAAATAGTATAATTAAGTGTTATCTTTGTATCAAATTGTTGATTTATAATTGAAGTGTAATAAAACATTTTTAAATTCAATACTCTTTAGTTTCATCTGAGACTTATTAGGTACTGAGCTTATAATTAAGAGTTCTTGATTTTTAAAGTTATAACTAACATATTTAACTAATTAATTAAAAATAAATATATTTCAACTAATATTAATTTATTTTGTATGAAATACAGGACCTTTACTAGATTCCAATTCTGAGTTTTTTAAACTTGAAATAGTGAGATCAAAAGACAAACAAGCCTTAATGAAAACAATGATTGACACTTTGACAATTATGTTTCCATCAGAAAATTTTGTGAAAACTGACGTTAAGACAGATTTAGGGTTTATAATTGGTAAGTTTGAATTTTTATACTTCAATACATGTTTTTTATAATGAAATACGTAAGTTGGAACTTATTATTTCATAGACAATTACTAGTTATGATACAGTAAGTCCTCATTTAACTTTGTTTCGTTACTACATCCTAATATTGAGTGTAGTGCAGCCTTTGGTACTCTAAGAAAATCTCCCTTTATTAAAGTTGGAATGGATCATTATTCACATTATATATTATTTGGTGTATTTTGTATTAATAATAATTGTATATATTTATAGTTCCTACTAAAATATAATAATTATAATTATAATTTTATAATAGTCGATGACTGAAAGCTAATAAAAAAATAAAAAAAATAAAAATATAATTTCATGCACGGTAAAATTACATTTACATTTTTGATAAGCAAAAAAAAAATCATTTGGTTTTAGTAGTTTCTGACAATTTTTGAACTTAGATAACTATGTAAAAAAGTTGAGAACCTCTGTAATAATACATACACAACCATGGAAATCAAGGGTTTTTTTATAATGAAATTACATATTTTGTTATCATTCCTATTATATGTTTACACAGGGTGGTTTATTATGGGGTGGATAAGTGTCATTCCCAGATTTTTAATGTGTTTCTCGGGCTTGCATTATTATTTGTATTAGTTCTTCATTTAATTGATAATAATTAATAAGTTGTTTAACAACACTTTTCCTGTCTTGTATGGCAACACTATTACAGTTGTCATGCCATTACTTTTTATTATTACATATTATGTTGTGTGTTGGCGAAAACAGGGTAAACTTTATCACTCATTACTCTGTACATAATTTTGAATTCTGTTTGCAGGACATTCGATTGGATCAATAGATCATACATTTATATGACACATATTTTGTGTATGCCCAACACAACTTCATTTTTTTAAATGGCAACCCCTATTTTGAATATCGTTTTTGGATTGATGGGTTTTGATCTATAAACTTGTATTCTAAACCTAAAATTGGCAAATGTAGAACTATGATTGAAAAAAAAGAAATTAATTAACTAAATTTAATTAATTTTTTTTTTTAATTATATGGATATTTAAATTACATAATGAATAATAATAAAGTAAAATATAAATTCAAAAAATGTAATTAATTTATAATTTTTTTTTTTTAATTTTACCTAGCTCTAACTTTGCCAGATTCGGGTTTAGAATATAAATCTTTAGATCAAAATTACTTGAAAAAAAATGATGTTCATAATAGGGTTTACCATTTATAAAAATGAAGTTGTGTTACGCATGCTCAAAATATATGAGTTAAAAAAATTGTAAGTCATAGACATTTATGATCCATTAGTCTAGTTGAATGTCCCTCAAACAGAATTTAAAATTATTTACAGAGTAATGAGTGATAAAGTGTACCCTGTTTCAACAAACAACTGGTGTTATTTATTGGCAGGAACACATTTCAACTGAATGTGTGTTAAAAGTTATGCTGGGTTGTATGAAAAAAATTTTAATTTAACAATCCAATAAAATTTAATAAACTAATCATGGGCCACTGAATCGTGTTTAAAGTACCATTAGTTCACTATTGATTCATTAAATGTTTATTGACTGTTCATACTACCCAACATTAACCTTGTTTTCTAGGAACCTAACCTCGACATTAAACGAGGACTTACTTAATATGATATTTGTAGTGCTAACAAGTCTATCCAAAAAATTCAAATAAATAATAATTTATTTAGATTGCTAAGCTGTATCAAATAATGTAGTTGAATTGTGAATGCACATTTTATAACATTCGTTTAAACAGAATACACTAAAACTATAAAATATTTATTGTGTACCTATTTTCATGCAAAAACAGTGCCATTAAACATAGATAAAAAATATATATTAACTCCTGCCAAATTCCATTAGTTCTAGACCATAGGTATTCTTTTTAAAAATATTTGTATTATTATTTTAAGTAACTGATGATTTCTATTAATAATAGAAATAAAGTAAAGCATTATTAACTTCTCTTTAATAAGTAATAATTAAGAAATAAACACAAATGTAAAGTTATACCTTTCAAGTGTTTACATTTTTCTTGATTCATATAGATGTCTAATATAAAGCATTTTTCTTATCATGTGTAGTGTGTAATTTTTTCAATAAACAACAATTTAGCATGATTTTGATATTTAATACTACGTATTTGTGTGTGAATTAAAAGATCTCAATAATATATGGTAATCAAAAGTATTATATGTCATTTTAGATGCAGAATGTGCGCTCGATTCAAAATTGAACCCTATACCACTGGATAGTTCCAAGGTGAAGAGTCCAGATACACATTTAATAGCATTTATGTTGACCGGATTTCATGATACGTGCCGTGGCAGTCACAATGAACCTAATGGAATTTCAGCACTCAACACACGACTAGCCCACTCTCTTGGCTACAAAGTACTATCTGTTCCTTACACAGAATTAGGAACTCGAGACACATTAGTTAATAGTGTTCAATACCTAAAAGAAAGTCTTAAAAATTTGTTAATTGAGCCCTAGTATAAATAGTTTTGTATTTGTATGTTTTATTGTTTGTATCTTGATTAAATTGATATGTTTAAAATCAAATGCTGTTTTTATTGTTTTGTTTTTCACACTTGTAATATAAAAAACTAAGTTCGTATGCATTTGGATTCGAGCCGGCTGAGTTGCACAACATTTTTGCATACCACAAACAAAGGTTTTCTAATTTTGATATTCGGCATTGACAAATTAAAGCTCCATGTGATGAATGTTGATGAGAATCAATAAGTAATACCTATACAAATAAAATATTTATATATTAACATTTTCATTTGTTCAAATAATTTTAAATTAAATAATGAAGAATTTGATATATTCTGCCTATTGGTATGATTGCATAAAAAGCAAAGTTACCAACAGCAGCTTTAAACTTTAAAATACATTAAATTTATTGATGACAAATAAACAATAACTATGATATAGATTATGTTTAAACAGCTTAGCAATATATTTCAAATTTTTAAATGTTCATTATAAAATACAATTCAAAACAAATATAAAAGAATACTTACAGAGTCCATATCTAATTGTATTACCATTAAAATTGCTTTGTTGTGAGCAATGAGAATTATGTAAAGGTTGTTTGGTTCACAACATGGAGGGTTTGTATACCATTCTATTACATAGCGGTTCATCTCTGCATACAAGTTGATTATCATATCGTTAAAATAAACTGAACTTTTCTAAAATGTGCAATGCAATTATACAAACAGCCAATTAGGAAACAGCAATATTTTTCGGTTAGTTTATAAAAAAAAAGTATAATGACCAGGGTGCATAATCAATTGCTAACCATTTAATGAATCAATAGTAATATCAATATGAATCAATAAGCTAATGGTGCACTTTTTATGCAACCTGGTATAAATGTTTTTTTATTTTAACCCATTCAGTCATGGTTCCCAGGGATGATTCTCCTGCATTCATTGCTTCTGGCACGGTTAGGTTTGTGTTTTGTGATGAGCTGCAGTTTTTGAACAAATTTTGGTGAATTAAATTACCATTAAGTATTGCATCTGAAAACAATTCGGTAAGACTGTCTTTGACCGATGGTGTGAACAAACACTTTACTCGGATGTTTGATGTATTGATGTTTGTAGCCATGAGTAGTGCTATAATAGTACACGCATTACTCCCTTCTATAGATCCATCAATTATAACATTGTTAATTAGTAATTAATAATAACGAAACAACGCTAATGGCTGCTTTAAGCATACCTAATTTTAAGCAAATAAAATTTTATACCTACTTTATTATTTATTTTCATACATAAATATATAGGTTCAATATCATTAAAAAACAGTTCAGTAATTTAAACATTTTTAATAGATGAAAATCGTTAAGACTAAGATACGACAAAGTAAACCTATGACATGTGTTAAACCAACATTTAGCGCCTCAGGATTTAATAACACAAATCTGATATATAGTTTAATTAATTTTTTTAGATTTATCATTCTTTTGAATGAGATGATAGTTAATGAATATACTATACTTTACTTGAATTTTTATTTCCTAGTCTTGATTGTGAAAATGTAGCAGGGTACCACATGAAGTGTATGCCGTAATTGTTTACAAATTTAAAACTTTCTGCATTTTCGGTGTTGTATTGACATGCACCACATGTCATCTTAGTGTTTTACAATTTTGATAAGTTTCCCGTAAATTTATTGTTAAAAGTATTTTTGTTTATTTGTGTGTTTTAAGTATTATTATTTATACTTGTGTGTAGTCAATAGAAATATTAAATGCTAAACTAAATAAACACATGATATTAATACATAATTATGATTAATTATTAATTTGTCAGTATAAGGTATAATTGCTGAGGGGCTATAAATTTAAATATATATAAGTACTTTAATATTTCACATGTTCTTTAAATTTCAGAGGAGAATTTAACAACTGGCAGATAAGGGGGGGGGGTGAATTTTTACAGAGCCACTGTTTGAATAAATGCTTCCTGGGAAGCACAATTACCACAATTTTTATTTTTTATTTTTGTTAAATTGTTTAGAATTAAAATCGATTACATTTGATATTTTGATTATTTGTATGTTGTTCGAAATAAAGTTCAAATTATTTTGACTAAGTAGAAACACTAGAAACCAGAAAATAATATGTGCATCAGCATCAACTAATATCAGTGTAAAATGTTTAGCTATACCCAGAACACCCGTACCTATTTTGTCAAACAATAATTACGATGACCGGATGACATCATAAAATAAATTATAAGTTGTACCTAGATACAATAACCATGTAGTATTACTGTGTGAGCACGGATTAAATTAAATAATGATTTAATTATTTAATTAAATGTTTCATTATTTTAATCTTTGGTAGACGAAATCTTACAGTATACACATTATTAATTATGATCCACTACAATAGGCAATACTATAATACACATGTCACGTCCAATCGTCTATATATTATACAGGAAAGTCAAAATAGATTGTATTAGATTTATAAAATTTATTTAGGAATGTGCCTAGAGGTTTGGACGGTTTGGTTAACATAATTTTTAACTATATGAACAACATTTGGGTCATACATTCATGAGCGTAACTAGGATTTAATAGTTACAGGAGTAAGGGACTAGAGTCCTAGAGGGCCAACGTTCGAAATAAGCCGCGGAGAGCAAGGCCAGTGGATAAAGTGGAAAAATTTTCGAGGGCGGACTCGTCAAAAATTGAGGAGCATTCCAGAATTCTTCTTAAAAAGTCTATATTTAACCAAACTGCCATAAGAAACTCGCAAGGTATAAACCTCCATAATTTGTTTTCTTTCATTTACCTTCGTTCATATGTTTATCCAATGTACGTGTCACTTAACCTATCGCCTTATTTACACGAGCAAAATGGTATCTATCTATATTAAGACACAGCGTCTAGTGTGGAAACAGACCAAGACATACAGTCCCTGAATGTGACTACACACCAGACAGTACCCTGCTTTTATCTCTTTTGAATACTGCATCAGACTTCCCTATCTTTAGAAACTTGAATTTTCAAGTGATCGGTGAACGCAGAGGCGTGACAAAAAATAGTAGGTATGTGTGGCTCGTGCGGGAAGGAATTTCATATGAGGATTTACAGATTACTGACGAGTCATTTATGTCGCACTCGGTGAATTTGTTTAAGTAAACAGAGAGCAGTAACGCAGTAACGTAGAGTACGGTAATATAAATCATTGGCATAGCCATCCAGTCAAATTCGAATCGTGAAGTAGAGACATTACTGTCATCTCTACATTTTTAAGTACCATTATTAGTTTGATTTACTTTAGGTGTAATAACCTACCTTATAGATAAATCATAATAATTAAATTTGTTTCAGTTCGTACTCAGCTACTCCTATGATCTTCAATAAACTACCCGTAAGAACAGGATTATACTCAGGTAGTCAAGCGATAGCGTTGTAGCAGTGTACTGACATACTGAATAATATTATTACTATTCAAACATTTTATAAACCTTGTATACGTTGCTATATCGTGATTAATTGTGTTAGTCTATGAACGCTACAGGTCATAAGTTTCTAGGACCAGTAAAATTTAACTTAGAAAACTATATTTGCATCAATTCAACAACCCGGTTTGTGTAGTGGAAATAACTAACCAACTACTCCTTAACTGGATAGAATTAGATATAAATATCGACACCCACTTGGCTTAAATAAACGAGGTAGGCTTGTTGCAGTATACTTGTTTATGGCGGGCAGTGGCCATTCACTCTGAGTCATACCTGCACCGAAAGCTTAATTTTCGATGCTGGTTGAAGCGTTTGATATTGGCCACTTTCCGCCCAGCAGACAAATTTTTTGTTTCCGACCGGTGGGATGCAAAGTGGAAATCCCGGAATGTAGGGGTCGGAAAAGTGAAATTACCCATCACCCACTGTTTTAGTTTTGAACTTATTAGTATGACAGTATATTGTTGTACGTTATTATGTTATTCAATTATCTTTGAGAGTCGTGTATTAGTGTCATTTATTATGTATGTTACATTACATAATATGTAATTGTATTAAAAGATTGAATTATGAAAAAAATTTTGTAAATGTTTTATAGAATCAACCGGTTAATTTAATCAAAATGACCTGCATCAAAGTGATTACATTAAGCGGAACCCACTATATATACTTATATAAATGTGTATTGTTTTTTCAGAACATTTAAAACCTAATTTTTTAAAGATTTTATTTTATTTTTTTAAATTCATTAATTATATTTAAATTACAATTTTTTTTATATTCATAACAAATATTTATAATTAATTTTTTCTTTTATAATTAATATTTTAAGTGCTTTTTTTTTCACTTTTAGTGCATATTTTTAAGTTTATTAATTTATTGGTTCATATTTTAGCACTTTTTAGTCTCAAACTCTGCTAATATATTACCAGTCCTATTTAATTTTCATTCACTAAAATTATATACAATCATATAATATTTAAACCAGTTGATTTTATATAAACACATTGTTTCAAATTAAAACACAAACAATAAGAGTATAAGGCATACACCTACAGATAAATCATTATTAACAATATTAGAAAAACTTATTATCAAAAGTATATAATCCTTATTATATTCACTAATATTTCAGGTAAAAATCTTAAAACCATTAATTTTCTAAAGAATCATTGACATCCAAGCAGCAATTAATAACATGCCCCCAGTGGGTGTATATTTGTTAAATGTTTTATCTCCTGTCAGTCCGTTGTAGTAACATGTACCACAAAATATTAAAGTTCCACTGATAAAGAGCGCCCCAGTCTGAAAGAAATAACATTTTAATAGGACAAATAACACTTAAAAATATTCAAATTATTATACTTACAATTCTAGGAAAACGACAAAATGGTACACCAAATAATGCAAAAGTATGGTAAAAATGATACCGATTTGCTGTTTCAAAATTTCTTATTTCTTCTGGATTAGCTTTATGAGCAACAACTAAAAATAAATATAAATTAAAATAAATAGGTAGCAGTTAATAACCTTAATAAATTCATATATTTTTTTTTTGTTTCTACTCTTTTTAGCTTAAGTACTTATATAATGAAAAAATGCTTCAAAAACATAATTTGAAGTACTTATCAGTTATCTAACATAAATTACAAAGTCTTATATGATTTTATTAGTTTCAAATAACAAAAATGGGCTTTTAATTTAAGTTAAGATAACTCTTTTTTTTTTTACTTTATTGTGTCATAATGAAATTTAATTTTAATTTATTTAAAAATATATTTCTGTGTTATGTTTACTCTTCACCAATCAAAGTAAATAGTGGAATAAAAACCTAAAATTAATAGTGACGAGGTATTAAAATGTATGTAATACTTTGTGATTTTTTATTTTTATTTACCATGGGCACCATAAGCTCCTAATATAACAGCAGATGCTCCTAAAAGGCCAGCCATTTTATAGAAACAGATATTTTTCCCAAGCATTTGAAATATATTGACATTCTCCATCTTCATAATTTTTTGTTTTTCACTAGAACTCGTTACTCCAATCCAATTTAGCTATAAAATTATTTCAATTAAAATATTAAGAAACCAAATTATTAGGATGCCCTTCAGTTTTAACAGAAATTAAATTAATTTATCTTGGAACATAAATGTTAAAATGATAGATAAAAAAATATAAATTATGTATATTCAACAAGCATTCGTAGGAAAAAAAAAATTTAATATATCCAATTATTTAAAGTTTTGTTTAAATTAATTGTATGAAATTCATAAAAATTTAAACAATTGTTTCATAAAAGAAATGTATATAAAAACAAAAAGTAAGTATATCATAGCTTAAACACACCATTTAACTTTAGTTTTAAATCAATAGAACAAATAATATGCAACTAATGTTTATTTGATACCTATATCCCTTGAACATTATTTACAATAAATAATATACAGGATTATTCTTTAATGTAAAACACTCATTAATCATAAAGCTTTCGTTATTGTTTCATTATTTGATTTTATTGAAAACATTTTTGAAACAATTAATAGATACATTATTTACTTATATCATTATCATTTGTTATGTTTTTAACTATTTTAAATGATAAAATATTTTGAATTCCATACTTTGAAGCAAAATATAAGTATTGAAATACATAAATATCAAATTTCAAATAAGTAGTTTTTTGATTACAAGTATTAAAATATTTTTGAAAACACATTATTTACTCAATTATGAATAAAAATGTATGCAGTTTAAGCAGCTGAAAACAAATGAATATACAAGATGGGAAAATTTCATATTGTCTATAGGTATATAGAGCCAATATGAAATATTCTCAACAATAGACATTTCTTTAAATCAGAGCTATAAACACAACTAAACAGATATCTTATGGAATACATTCATCAATGTTTACTTGCCATTGAATTAAACCCTTGTACTGAGTTAGTAACGACTGGATTTGTATATGTAATCCATTTAACAGCTCCTTGAACTGAATCAGAAATCATAATATACAACCTGAGTAAACAATTAATGCTTGTTGAATAAATAACAATAATCTTAATTTAAAAATTATTTTTATTATACTTAATTAACTTACAAATCACGAATAAGATGTCTTGGAAAAAACCAAATAATAATTTTATGTTGACTTGTAAACGTACTATAAAATCATTCAAAATTGGCAAATATAACACTGTTCAATATAATAATAATGCAAATAGCAAATAATTAATATATTCACAAGACCCGCACTAACCTTTTTTATACACAGTATTATAGTAGCTAGTAGGACTCAATTTAATTAGATTCTAATTAATACATTACAACTTTCAAGTGCTCTGTAATCTGTATACTGTATTGAGTGTATTGCACATTCATTGTACAATGATTATTGTACTTTTGAGTTTTTTTGTCTTTTATTATCATCAAATTGCTTATCATTACAGTGTAACCAAGATAAAAAGTTGCATTTATAAATTTAACCGTCTATAACCTGTTGGCTGTTTTCGAGATAACGAAATACTGAACGGTAAAATAATACAAAATTACGAAATGTCCAGTATAAGCTGAAAATTATCTCATAAATTCAATATTTTGTATAATTATTTAATATTTAAATATAAAATTAAATCACCATTTGACAATTTGGCGTTTGGTACTGACCATGACTAACTAAGCATATTTTTAGTTGAAAATTGTAATAACTAGTAACTAATCCAATCCACATTCCACACTATACAATTATTAAATACTATAATCACTGCAATCATCATTCTATAATATCGAATGTAAAACCCATATTTTGTTGAAATTAAACTTGGATGCGGGGTAATAAACAATGTAATATCAACCTTTATATTATTTTTGTTGCACAACCGTTTTTCCAAAAAAAGGTTTAAAATTAACTTCTAGTAGTAACTAGTTATTCGTACATCAATAAATTGTCAATTCTTCTTATCTTTATTTTTATTGGTCATGTACGTGTTGTAAATTCGTTTAATGAACAATGGACATTAATGGTGTGCAACGCGCTGACTGGGAACGAAGAAGAAAACTACGACTTGCCCAGGTAAATATATTATGCGTTAATCATATTATAATGTCAATGACACTAATTACTTAACTTTAAATATGCATGGATTAATAAATGACAGGTTAGAGACCAATCTAAAACATTAGCTAAAACAATACGTGATCGTGTCCACGGGGCTGTGGAAGTTCAGCTGAATCAACGCAATACAACAAAAAATATAACAGAACATAAATTTAAATCACTGGCAGTACACAAGTTGAAAAGTGATTTTAATTACTTGATACAAGATGTTGGTAATGGTTACTCAGTTGCATCAGTTCAAGTACGATCAATAAATTAAGCTCGAATCTCGATGAGTTTGTTTTTTTATGTTTTATATGATGTTTAGGAGGATCCATGTATAGTATTGGCCGAAAAAAGATTGATAGACAGATGTAAAGCCATATCAAGGGGCGCAGAAGCAGAAAAACGACAACAACGGATCCAAGAAGAACAGCAGATGGACAAAGAAATGAGGGATAGAAGAACACATTTCAACAAGACAGTTGAAAAAATACGGTCAACACTAATAACAAGTGTTCAGAATGTGTAAATACTAATCAATATTTTATTTCTAAGTAGTTATTCATTTATTTCAACAAACCAAATTGTTTTAAATGATTATAGTGACGATGATAATACTCGCCGGCGTAATATAAAAGAACACAATGAATGTTTCTTTATTCCAAGTCAAGTAACTTTGAATGAATCAAATGTAATAAATAGGAACTTAAATAAAGTAAAAATATAAAACTGAACATTTAATTTTAATTATTTTGTTGTGAACTTGCTAATTAATATTATTTTGCTGCAGAAATTTTCTAAACCTTGGTCAGTAGTTATTGGTTCCAAAGAAAATCAAATGGAGAAATTACAACAACTAACCACGAGTGATGAAAATAAAGAAAATGAAGAAAATGTATCTAAATTCTCAAAGCTAGAAACAGATTTGAAAACCTACGAATCATTAGTTTTAGAGTTAAATAAACTATCTGCTGAAGAACAAAACATTAGAAACAAATTATTTCCCGATAACTTAAAAGTATGTTTGAATTGATTCTATATTAACCATTGTTTTATTGTAGATTAATTTATTTTTAAATTTTAAGGAAATTACTATTACATGTCAAAATAATGCACCTTCAGAATCTAAAGAAAAAAATAAAACAAAAGAAAATACTAGAAAAAAAGAAAATACATCAAATGAAAGAATTAAATTAAATGAAACTAAAAAACAGATAACTGGTAAGTAATATTTTGATAAACTTTTACAAATATAATTTTAATCGTTTAAGAGTTACCGATGCTCCAGTGGTGGGCTGCGTCAACAGCATCAATGGGTTTGGTTAACATATACCATACTCTACATAGTGATTCTCTGTTATAAAGATCATCAATCGCTTAGCTTACATTTCACATAGATTAATATAGTAAATTAATTTTTGGCAAGGACCGATTTTTGGAAATAAAGGTGGGAAAGAAAAACCATTTCATCATTAGGTGTGGTTTAACATATAAAATAGTAAATGATTCACTATAAATATAAGTATAGATCCACTCATGAACCATCTCATTTAATCAGTATCATTTTTTGAATGCAATAATTGTAATTGATGTATAATTTAACAAATCTATTGCAATGACAAAGCTACTCTTTAAATCCACTAAACAGAAATGCAAGTTTTTTCCTTTTTTATTAGTAGTACATAAGATGGACGTCACACTCATATATGATGTCTCAGTCTTTCAAAAGTATAAATTAGAATAAATTGACTTATACAATTTTAAGGTAAGAATATTGTCTAGGGCATTTCAGAGGTTTTTATTGATATTTTAATTTTGAAGCAAATTTAATTTAAAATTTACAAAAAAATTTAATTTTCTAAATGTCTCAACTTTCTTTGTAATTATAATACTTATGAAAACATAATAAATGTCCCATTATCTTAAGCCAATAATTCGCTCTAATTTTAAAAACAACAGACTAAAATGGATTATTGTTGGTGTATAATTAGCCATTTTGTACGTTTGTAAGACTGACAACACATGCGGGTGTGGTGTTCTCTTAAACTTTAATATATTTACTCAATATATTTTGTTTTTATAATTTAGAAATAAGACTTGATGAGTCAAATACGTCTACATCTATATGTATATCGTCATCCACATCAACCAGTACTAATTATGAACAACCCTCAAGGAAAACTATTCATTTTGAAAAGGAATGCAAAAAGAAAAAACTTACTAATACTAACTATGAGCAACCTTCGAAGAAAAATATTCATTTTCAAAAGGAATGCAAAAAGAAAAAACTCACCAATACTAATTATGAGCAACCTTCAAAAAAAAATATTCATTTTGAAAAGGAACCCAAAAAAATGATTATACAACCAAGTACCAAGTTAAATTATAAAGAAAAATTTGCTTCTGGAAAACCCTTGCAAAATATTAACAATATAATGCAAAGAATTAAAAACAAAAAACAACTGCTCGTAAATGAGATATCTACTGGTAATCATGGAAATACAGGTGTGGATAACAAAAAATTGAAGGCAGTTTCTTCTTCAATTCCTAAAACATTACCTTTACCTGAAAGACATTGTTCTGGTGACAGATTACGAGAGGAAATTCCAGTAAATTACGCTCAACTTCCAGATTCATTTTACAATGGTCAGCTTGATACATTAAAAGAACATATATCAAAAAAACAATTTAAAGTTCTTGATACCGAAGTCAATAAGTCAATAAATGAAGATCTAATAGCATACATAAATACATTACTAAAAATGTCACCTTCAGATGTGGATAACTTATCAATTTCATCTTGTTCGAGCATTCAATTTGAGGAAAATGTTTTACAGCATTCAGAAAAAGATACTCAATATTACTGTAAAATGTTGAAATGCATATCAAAATGTTTAAATACAGATATTTCTGACATAAATGAAACAGTATTTGATTCTCCAAAAAACATAAACTTATTAAATAAACTTGAACAATTAACAAATTATTACTTAGAAAAAACTCATGAAATGAAAAATATCTGTGATGAAACTCCTCAAATAGTAAATAAAAAATCTTCTGAGAACAATACTAGTACTATTAAAGAGTGAGTTACTATTATTTGCTTATTATTATGTTATAATCAATAATTGTTGCATTTTTTTTTAGGAATAGTTCTATTAATTTATCATCAGGGTCATCAGTTGATGGAGAATATATATTAGGAAATTTAAATAAATTACTACAGGAAAAGGGAATTATTAATTCTGACAAAGAATGGCCAAAGTTCAAACATATTGATGATGGTGACGATAGAAGTTTAACTGATCAACTTCTTGATATATATCCATGTAGTTCATATGATAGATGAAACATATTTTTAAATTATTATAAGTTTGAAAATGTTAAAAGGTAATTATTTCTCTATTTTTGATGATAAGTATTATTTATCAATTAAAACATGTTCATCTGTGGAACTTGTATTAATTTAGCAGCATACTAAATCAATTATTAAAAATAATCCCATGCGATCGCAAACATTTTTTTAGTAACTATATTATTAACTACAAATTTATTTTTAATTTAATTTTATATTTTATAATATTAGTAACTCAAACAATAATTTTCTCGGATAAAACTACTCAATTAAAATTGTTTTACGCATATTTAAAATTATAACTTTTAAATCCTTAAAATTACCTTTCTATCTATTTGACTTTTTCATTTTACAGCAAGTATTAATATAAATATTTATACATTACATTATTTTTTATCCTAAGTGTTTAGTAAATGTGTAATAATTACTTTTAAATTAGAATTTACTATTAAGAAATAGTCTTATAATTTTATTAGTGATCTTCATGCACAATAATTCAAATGTCTGTATCATATTATTATTCTATTTATACTTTTTCATTATAATTTGTAGCTGTATCAAGGGATACCTTCTCCATTTTTTTTTCAATTTGATCATAAAACATTTATATTATATACTCTTATCCTCCTTTTCATGAAACAAATTATTCTGGATTTGACAATGTTATAATGGAAATTATTCAAATTCTAATGATTTGTAATGTCATGTTAATATAATAATAAAAAAAATGTATGTTGTGTTATTTTTATTATTTAGTAAACACTAAATATAAAATTACAAATATTTGTATGGTAGTATAATAGTTTTTTCATTTATTTGCATTAATATTTGGTCATTTTATAGGCATTAACATTATGACATCATACGTTTTTAAAGAAACAAAAACTAAGTTGCCTAAGTTTAAAAATGTATTCAATTCCAAAAAAATAGTATTGGTGTTATGTTTCTACTCGAATTATTTACATATAAAGAATTTAAGAAAGCTAAGTGACATCACTGGGCTTGTTTTCTATGATAAACAGAATAGTTTTAATGTCATCTTACTTGTATACAAAGTACCCACTTCACACAATAAATTATTCAATATTTTAAAATAATAACTATATTATTGATTATTTTTTTATTTTTCTACCTTATTTAGACCTTGTGTGTATTTTTGTACTGATGACTAATGAAACTAAAAATTCAAGACAAGCTTATAAAATCTTTAAAATTATTTTTTTTTTGCAACACGTCTTACAGAATTAAAGTAATGAAAAAAGTGTATTGAATATTATTCCTGGTTCCACTGTCATATTCAGTACTAAAATACACTGACAATGAAATAGTAAAATTCAATAATTTATTTTTCGAATCACTGAGTGCATTGGGTAACTTTTGCATGTATATTATGTGTACGATAGTCGATTGTGCTGCATCTATCTTAGGGATATCATGCACTTTTAAATTCCTCAATATTTCATTTTCTTTATAAGACTTGCTAGAAAGTTTTGATAATGTTTCAAGTCTGTCTACCATAATTAAACTTAAAATATTAATTTAGAGAAAAAAGTTAATGTTGTACTAGTGTGAAGTAACTTTCCAATTGCATAAGGTTCTCTATAACAGACACATTTTCTTGTGTATGTAGAGTTTTCATTGTAATTACTAATCACCAATCTTATTCAAGTAGTTGTAATTATACAATATTAAATTATAGTAATGCACTTGTTAGAATATTTTGTATAACTTAATGCATTTTCCAATAATATAGTAATTTTAAATTAAAATAATTCCATCACATATTAATCATAAAATGTTAAAATATATTAATTTATACTGTTATCCTCCATGATTATTGTAATACTTATAATATAAGGATATCATATATTATGTCATTATTTAAGTGTGACATTTTAAATTAATTTGTTGTGTTTTTACATAGGCGGATTGCACTTAGTTAATGTTGTATCTGCTCGATGAATTAATTGTAATCAAGTTGTGAAGAAATAAGTATTTAAACCAAACTATAAATAGTACTATATGTATTTGTATTACAAACTGTGGTACCTATATAAACATTTTAAATAATTCTTTTAACTTTTGGAATCTGTATTCTTTAGTATATTTTAACTATCTATGATGTACCCGTAACATTTATTCAATTTTCTGTTTGAATCCAAAATTTATTTAGGTCAATCTGGTACATGTCAAAAACAATTTGTGCAGCAATACAAAGGCAACAAGAAAAATGAATCTCCACTACAACGTCCATTGGAGAACATAAATGAAATGTTAAGCTGGATTAAAAAGAAGAAACGTCGTTTGTTTGATGAAATTTATACAAACCAAACACCTATACATGATATACAATCAATAAACAGTAAGAGTGATACACTCAGAGACCTGTCAAAAGAAAGTCTTAATTATGTAGGACTACCAAATTCATTTTATAATAGTACACTGAAAGTATTAGAGGAATACGTGAGGGATAAAAAACAAAAAAAGAGTAAATCAAACAATAATAACAATTGGATTAATATGGAATTGATGAGATACATATGTAATTTATTAAAAATGTCGCCTAAGGAAATGGATGATCTTTCAGTATCGTCAAACTCAGGTATTCGATTAGAACAAAGTATTTTGGAGATATCCAAAGCCAATTTGGAGTATCACAAAGACATTTTGAATTATATATCAAAGTGCTTGGACAGTAATCTAAGTGACATCAGTCAAGACCAGGCTTTAAGTTCGCCTCAGTATATCGGTTTGTTAGATAAGCTATATAAGCTTGCTGATTATTACGCAGAGAAGGCACAAGAAATGCAGAACATTTGCTTGGAGTCTCCTAGGGTCGAGATTAACACCTTGGATGAAGATGCCGTTGAACAAATTACAGAAGACAATCCTAGGTGAAGATATTTTCAATTAAACTTAGTTAAAATTATACAATGTAATCATTACTAATATATTTTACTTCTGGTAGTTTAACTTCGGAATTGTCTGTTGATGGAGCATATGTTTTGGATCATTTGCGTACACTATTAGAACAAAGAGGACTAATTTGTGCTGATAGAGAATGGCCTATTTTTGGAAATGATGACGAAGATGATAACAGAAGCTTAACGGATCAGCTTCTGGATATCAAACCACAAATTAAATCGAAGGATATTAAAGTAGAACGTTCTGAAAAAGGTTAGCTAATTACATTTATGAAGATGAAATAAAATTAATACAATACTGTTTGTCGCAAATGTTAGATTCCAAAAGTTAAAATTGACTTACTAAAATACCATTTCAAATGTATTGTATGTGTTGTGTATATTATTGATTGAATGAATAACCAAAAACTCTTAAAATTTAATAAATATTATTAATATTTTATGTTAAGGCCTAGAATAATAGGAGTTTCTTATCTAAATAGTGGCAACATATGTAAATAATGGGGCCTGAGCCCCCTCAGAATTTGCTAGAAGTTCCAGCAGCGTCGATACCACAAAGAAAAAATAAAAGAAGGCTATAATCTTCACAAATAATTTTTTCACGCTACGGCTATGAGTGGCAACAATTAATTATTGTCAAGATGTGAAGAACTAAACCATATTCATTTTAGTAACTAAGTGAATATTTTGGTAATAATAAATGTTTATCTTTTTTTAGATTTAAAAGTACTTGCAACTTAATAGGAAGTTACTGGGTCCAGAACAATCCATGTCTTGACAATTATACATGGTTTAGTATTTCAGTGTTCAAATAGAAAATGTATTAATACAATGAAATACATATCATTTAGATTTGTATATCTCATACAATAAAATTAAATGTATAAAAAAAAAATTCACTTTTATGATATAACCATTTCTGATCTATTTTTCTCTTTTTTTTATCCTTTTAATTTGTCATACATTGATATAATGATGCAGTTAAACAGTTAAACATAAAAATATTAATGAAAGCATAATATTACAGAAAGTAAAGAGGATAATATATCTCAACACTCAATCCATTACTTTATTTACATAGCTTAAAAATCTTTGTGTACTATCTAAACATGTCTTGTAAATATATTTACACAAGATTATTTTGCTCAAAAAAACTCCTTAATTTACAGAACATCATTATCTAAAATACAGAGAAAAATATAATATAGTTCGCGTAAATATATTTTTATATAATAATAATAATCATAATAATAATAATAATAAGTAAATCGAAAATAATTTCATACTTAAGTGGTTCCAACTAAATTAGTTTTTTTTTAAACGATTAATATTTTGTTTTATTTTTTATAATTAAAGATAATGAAAAAGAACATAAAATCATTTCTAAAATAGCTAATAACCAACTATATATAAAAACATGATGAGCACGACTTACAACAATTCTTGAAAACTATGGGAAGCAAAAAAAAAAAAATTAACAAGTGAAAAAAAATCTTACAATGTTTAAAGGATATAAATTTTTCATAAAACTAACCAACTAAATCCACGAAAATAAAAAGAAAAAAAACATTGATTTATATACATTTATCTATTGCACAGCGACTACGCTCTTCAAAAGTGTTAATAAAAATTTATAATGTTCTCCTCTTCCTTTGACAAATGGAAAAAAATGTGTCAATTGTGAATTTGAAAACAGGTAAGGCTTCAAAAATCATTAGAAAAATAAAATTACTATACCTTTAATTAAATTAAGAATGTACACTTTATGTTGTTATAAAACTACAGTGGAAGTTTATTTATATTTTAAATATATATATATATATAGATGCATATATTTTATTATATTGGTACATTCATTATTTTCATGCGCTTATTTAAGTGTTAAATTCAAAATATTAAATCTTCTGAATTTTTTCTCCAACAACTACTGGATTATTGCGCCTGATTTCTTGTGCTCCTAGCTCCCTGTAGTCAAATGAACAATTGTGTTTGTCGGAGTATCTGTGGATGCCGCAAAATAAGCCACCACAACGGCATTCAAAACCTATGAAATAAGAAAAAAACAATGGAATAAATTGATCTGTTTTTATAAGTTATAAAAAATGTATACATCAACTACTAATCAATATAAAGACAATATTTATATGCTGAAGGATTAAATTCAGATTGATTTTTTAGAAATAGGAATAAGAATCAAATGTGGTTCAGTTCATGTGAGAGAAAGGGTATTAGGAATTTAGGTGTAGAAATAAATTAGAAATATAAATATCAGTACTTTTTCTACATTTTCATGCCAGTTTTATAAAAACAAATTAATTAGATACATTAATTTTTATAAATTCCTAGTAGTTTAGACAAAATTTTAAAAGATAAAAATGTAAGCAAAATAACAGTTTTGTTTTCAAATTTTTGGGTGAAATTAACTTTTATTCCAGAAGTTTGTAGAATCTATACTCTGTTTAAGAGATCATGCCACGGCCCCCCATAAATCAGATCTTCTGCACATTGCCGTAAAACAACCTATCATTAAGACCATTTTGATTATAGTATGATGTCAAGTTGGAAAGCGCAGAAGAACCAATTGATGGCCGGGCCTTGGAGAGTTTTCTCACCAAACAGAGTATAATGATACATTTTTTTTTAAACTTTAATACACCTGTTGCCCCTAGTATCTACTTATCTGCTGTCATACAGATGACATATTTATTTATACCATTATACTAGGGGCTTTGCCCCCTGCTCGCTCGGCTTGCCAACCCCCACTTTTAACTCATAACTGTCATTTGTTTATTTTTTTTTAGTTGCCATACCAAATATATACACTGAAACATAAAAATTTCAATACTTTTTTGTTATGTTATAGATTTATATATATGTATGTATATATATATCAGAATGTTATAAATTTAATTAAAGCTTTATTTCTACCTGTAAGACCGACTTTTTTGCGGCACATGGCACATCGGTTTTTCTTTTTAGACTTGTCTTTATCATCATCGTCATCATTTTTACCATCGTCCATGAGACTGCTGTCATTAGAACTGCATGCCAAACCATTGTCCATCTTAAAAAAATTATATATTCAAAATTATATAACTATAGTTAATTTAATGGTGAATGGAAATTTACATCTTTTTTTGAGTCTGTGGGCAAAATAGGAGAGGCGGATACAGGTGGAATCTGCAGCACTGGTATGGTAGGTATGGCAGTCTCCATCATACTCTGAGCGGAGACTGAAGGTGGCGATGGAGCTGTTTGTGGTGGTGTCTGTTTCTTTTTCAGTGCTTCTTTATAGCACAGAGAGCAAAGACCATCTGTAGATGGGTTACCATAGAAGCCACATCCACCACGACACAAAGCCTGCATGGAATTGGATTCTCGCTCCATTGTATTAAGAAATTGTTGTATACCGTTTAATGATAATCTGAACGGCTTTTGATAGCCAACAGAAATTATCTACATAAAAAAAAAAATTAAAATCATGTAAACATTAGTTACTAAGTAAATATAAATAATTATATAATAAATCTATATCAATTTAATAATGCTAAAAATCACCAAGGAATATTTAAATTTCAAGCAATATCTTAAGATTTTAATATCAGTGTACTCTGAATAAAAGAAATATAAAATTATACAATATATTATAATATACAATTATTATAATTGTTCATGTTCAGTTAGTTGGTTACAATGTAAACAATACTATTAGTTATACAAACATACTATTTGATTTATAACACAGATACCTAATTCAAAAAATTTATTTTTCCATTCTTTCTAATGTTTCTCTTTAAATTATTTCAGCAATGATTCGATCACTTTACAAAACCCAGCATATAACCTGTTTTGTATAAATGTATTATATTTAGCTAGTTGAACCTTGAATTTCATGGAGAATACTAACATTATTAAAAATTAACAACATAACTAAGACACTTCAATTGTAAAAAATGTAATTGGAAAGAAAATATATCGATCATTGGAAAATGTATTACTATGAGATTGAACGCACCCCCAAAAACAAAATTTGTTGAACTTCAAATATGTCACCAATTTTACCCATAGGTTATTCAGCGATATCATTAAAATCAATAAATGGTGTGAGTGTTTTATATCCTTTTTGTTTTTACCACAAAACTTGCAATTATTCTAAAACTTAATTAAATATTTACCAAAAGTGATATGCTAAATGCTCATGCCACCGAATGAATACAAAATTGACAAACATGCGTTAGCTGCATTTATTAATGCATTAATTGTCAGTCATTAAATAATTTATTCATTTGAAATGAAGGAAAAAGAAGAAAGGTGGCTTGAAGAATTTTAATTTCGATAAAGGATAATTATAACCTATTTTTATAAAGGATTAAGTATTGCACATTAGTTGAAAAAAGGTACACACATTGTTCATTCTAAAAAGTTAATCTTTGATAAAATATCAAGAAAAAATTATTTTAAAATTGAAACTATGCTCTACGAATTTGACAACAAGGCAGAGTTTTATCCAATATTAGAACTATAAAATTATTAATTAGTCTAATCAAATATCCAATTTATACACAGTACTCACAACTTAACGTATATTTGTGATGCTCACGTGATTACGTGAAGACAAAGATAACCAATTCTATTGAAGCGTATTATACATTCTTATTACGTATTTACAGAAGAGTATGATACATTTTTATTACGTATTTATATTATTATGTTTAAGCGTCCTAAACTAGGTAATACAATACGTCCAAGGGGATTGAAAGTGGTTTCTGTCCGTTATTACAACACACGCGCAACATCACAATTTAGATGTTTATTATATTTTCAACGTACCGATTAATTTGGGGATGCGATAAGAATTCTGAAATTTATCAAAAAATTAAGTCTAAAATCAAGAAGAGTTTATCTTAAGTGATAAATTCAAATCTGTATTCAGAATTGATATCGTTCACTAGATCTCAACCGGTACGTAGGAAAGAAAATTCCAAATTATCTAAATATATGTTGCATGACGTGTTCGACAAAGACAAATCACTGCTTTAAACCTACTGAATTATGATCTATTTTATATCTTTAATAGTAAAATATGGATATTAAGCATGATTAAATATATTATATTTTTAAATATTTAACATGATTTAATATAGGAAAGTCATAAAAATTGATAGACACCCAGATACTATCTGTTATTATCGTTTATATACTCGGGTAATTCCAAAATTGTAGTAAAAATAGTAAATAGTGCTTACTGTATATAAGACTAAGTATTTGTTAAACAAATTTTATATTGATATGCAATAAAAATGAAACCTTCCAAGTATATACCAAACATATTATTAAAATTAAAATGATAATAATATACTCATAAATATAAATTATAGAGGAATAAACTCGGCGATATAACAGTTCTGAAATATTTTTTAATTTGGAAGTCTCCAGGGGATTTCCTCTCACCGGGTTAACTTACAGAAAAAATAACTGATAAATTTGTTGTAAGAATACTGAACATTTCACATTAAGTAATACTAGATACACACCAAGGGGTTGTCACGACTGGCGATTATTAATAGATATCAGTTTGTGTCCGACCCGTAATCAATTAATAATTTTACTATTCTATCAATAATTATCTTATTTATTGATTGAAATAAAAATAATAGGTAAATTATTGAAATTTCTGGAACACAATAAAAGCATACGGCTCTCATGAAAACTAGAATAAACTATAAGGTGATAGAAAACGGACGGACTGTCACCCACAGGTAGCGCTGCGGTCGCGCGTCAGTTGCTACTTTAACCTGTGGTTTAGTTCAATGATTGTGTATAAAAAATTAATAAATGATAATTATATGTTTTTATTTTTATTTAAGTTATTTAGAACCACGACCAGTATACAAATCATAATTCATAATAATATAGCTGGTACAATTATTCATTAATATCTTAATTGCATAATAAAATATGTATAAATAATTAAATTCCATTATCCTGTATCAATACAATAACAGCTCATAGGTAAAATGTTATATTTCAAAAATCACAATATTATAATATTATTAGTATCACAATACCTTAGAAGTTAAACATGGTATAAAGTCTATTAATATATTAGTCCAGTATTAATCAGATGAAATAACACAGATTTAATGTTAAATTTAATTATTTACATATTAGTCATCAACAATAGAATGCGGCGAAGTCGATGCTTTTTAGGACATGTACACCGTACAATAATGTATAGTATAACTTAGTTGTCTTTTTATTCAATTCATCATGGGTGCTACTATATACTTGTTAATGATTAGTTTTAAAATAACTATATTCACTGTATCTACCTATAAATTACAGTTTGTTTTTTTTATACTTTGCCATCCAAATTAATTGAATTGAAAAAGTTGGCCAGCTGGTTATATATAATATAAATGTCTTCGGCAGTAGTGGCAGAGCTGTGAACCATTTTTGGGGGAGTGAAGGGGCAAAAAATATTATATACCTCACTTTAAAATAGATGTTGATGACATTTTAACAATGTTAAATTATATTATATAAAAAGAAATAAACATACATTAAGCAAAATAATAAAAAGCGTCCGGGGGGGGGGGGTCTAATGTGCCTATTGATCCCCCATAAATATGCCACTGGTTTTAGGTAAAAGCTATGAATATTTAGGTAGGTATATAATATCATTAATATTTATATTATTATTATACAATATTAATATATAATAAATATAATTAAACTTTGGTGATTTTTTATAATTATTTACATATAATATCATAATATTTAAAAAATATAATAGTTAAATATAAGAAAGAAATTATGAAATTATAATATTTACCTTAAACGTCACGCAAGTGTAATTGATGATTGATTAATCACAGGTTGTGAAACAGACGAATAATATTGCATTATTACTTTGAAATGAATGTCACGAAAACATTGGTTCTTTGATGAAGAACATCTGAAAAAAAACAATTATTAGGAATTTTTATACAGATTATGGGTATCAGAAAATTGTAGTATTTTAAGTAATATTAATTTAGATATATTTTATGTAAATTAGATACTATTTTAAGTCTTATTTATTTTAAGTGGAAATTAAACACTTTAATATTTGGTGAGTTTGTAAGGAACTCAAATATACACAAAGACCTACAAATTTCAACTCTTCAAGACCATATCAAAATTTTGGCTGTGAGCTTCTTCGCATCCATCCACAAGTCAACAGGCTCAATGCACTACCACATCAACATCGGACCACTTCCACAAATCCGCCTCAAACAAGGACGCCCGCATGATTTAATTCCTCAAGAAACATTCTAACCCAAGGCTCTAACTATTGTTATCACCTAACTTAAAATTGTAATAATTTAATTATAGCGTTAAACACGCCAAAATGTATTACCTTTCCTACATCTGTAGGTATAGATAGTGAAAGCTAGAAGTACCTTATTGTAAATAACAATAAAAAAAAAATATTAGGTGAATAGGATGACAATAATAACAATAACTCAATAAATAGGGAATCAACTGTAAATTGTCTCCTGGGTTAGATAGAATTTTATTCATAAATTTAAACAGTTGTGTGGTGGAAATTTGTTAATCAATGAAAAGTACCTTAATATGCTCCAAACAAGCATTAATAGTTTAATTAATTAACAAAATATATTAATAATATTATGAATTCAATTTTAACTGTATAATATTTAGTTGTTTTAACTCCTTAAGTATACAACAATGATCAATATAGATTTAGTTATGTAAATTAGTATTTATCATAGAATATTTTAAAACATAACCACTTAAACCAGTTGTCCAAGTTAGGATTTGAGATAGAATTGTCGTATATTAAATGAGAAGACCTTGGCATGTCCTCTATCACGACAATTGTGATCAATACTTTATTTCCCTCTTTACCAATTTTGTGCATTTAAAAAATTATTTTAAATTTATTCACGAAAGAATCTACATTAATAAATTAATTTTTAAGATTTAAAATAGGCAGTAGGTACATCAAAATTAATATTTAAAAATAATTGTTACATACTAAACAAAGCGAACATTACACATAAGACAACTAAAGACAAAAATAGTGAAAAATACATAAGGGATAATAACATGAAACAAATTATAGGTATATAAATTGATAGTTACGTAGCCATATTTTCTAAATTATTAATGTCCAACAAATTTAGTTAAATTTCCAACAATTTCATACACATACTAAGAAACAAGATGTTTCACAGTATCAAATTCATGGAGTTACATGGAAGGGGGTACAGAGAACTCAGAACTGATCACGTCTCTCAAACTAATTATATATCAAAACGGCTTCAGTTATATTTTCATTTATTAAAACGACTATAAGGAAGTTATAAATTGAACATGGTAATTTTGTGCTTAAGTTAGTAGTATTATCCTGGTCATTGGGATTGGTTTATGTAGTTTAATAGGTGTGTAATATTTTTTTTTATTATAATAGTAATAATTATAGCTTTATAGTTCTTGGACACCATCCCATCTTAAAAAATCCTGGTTGTGCCACTGGTCTAAGATAGTATTTTCATACACATAAAATAAAAATGGTAATATTAAATACTAAAATATTATCCAGAACTTACATTCATATTCAATACTGAATATATTTAGAAATCAATGATTATGAATTATGATTACATATTTTAAGGGCTGTTATAACAATGTCCAGTTAAAGTTAACGGACACTTAACGGGGAAAATTCTGCCAGTAATAAAAATCTGCCGGTTAACGTTAACTAACACTTAACTGGGCATTGTAGAACCAACTTAGGTCTACCAATCTTTTGGAAGGTGAATACGTATCTACCAACCTCCTATACTACAACGAATAATGAAAAAAACTTAGGAATAATAATAATTTATCTAAATGGGGTCCAAAACTGATTTTTATATACAATTTGAAAATTATATTTTGTAAAATTAGTCACCTTATTATAATTATAACTTTTCCACTTATCAACTATGGATTACCTATTTAGGGAAGGGGGACTGGTTGAAATGGTGATTTTATTAACAAGTGACATCAAAGAAACTCTCAAGCCTTGAGGAATTGTTAGATTTTGATACTTATTTTTTTATTATGAAAGAATAAGATGTTCAACAGACAGCATAGAACTCTTGATTTTCTAATTTATTTTAAAGAATGGTAAAACATAATTTGTAAAAAAAAAAACTAAAAAATTGAAAAACTAAGTCCAAGGCAGGCTGTAGAATATGTCTCTCTATTAATTTAACGATAACCTATCAAATTAGATGGATTCTACAGGACAGGGCTATTATTTTTGAAATGTTATTTTTTAGGACACAATTACGTTATTAAAACCAGCTGCCTTAAAAAAAAGTAAAGTAAGACAGAATCATTGAATATATTACACATTAAGTTAAAAACAAATCATTTAACTATATAACTATTTAATTATAAACATTAATATTAGGTAGATACAGTAACTAAATTAAAAATCCTTCAAATACTTACTTTCTCCTAAAGTTGAAATCAATCAAAATATCACTGATGACGTAGTAAGACTTGTTATCTGAAAGAATAATACAAATAACCTTTGAACATTTTTTCTTTAATCAAACTACTTATCAATTAGATAGGAAAGGCCCGAGTGACACAGAAATATAAAACAAAATCTATAACGAATATTGTTTTTGGTTTACACAGTAAGATAACACACAATAAATAATAATGTATTCCATACACACAACAATTTAGTATATACCCACACCGTAATATTTTAACATAATAATATTATATTTAACGACGCACCAGCTTAGGTATCCATCGCTATTGTACTGTATAATATTATAATTATATGTTTTGCCGCTAGAGAGTTTTTGCGTGGCTCTAGACGAAACGAAAATCAACAAAACTCTAAAGAGACGGTTCTACGGGAGAAAAACAAATTGTAAGCCTAATTTCGTCGAACGAAAATCCGTGATATGGCCGAGATAAACCCGTGCAATTCACTCTCGACTACGACGGTATGGAACAATAACCATTATTACGCACGTTTATAATAACCTTTATGCAATCGACGTGATTACACCACAAACACACACTCACGCACAGGCACGCCGTGTGTTCTTTGTTTAATCATCTTTGTTTCCATCTGTCATTGGTCACTCGTAACGCAACACACACACACGGAAGTCGTTGTTAACGGGATAATCGATTGGGAAAACAAAAATTTCAATCGTTTCGGCTGTCCCGGAGATTATCACGACCCCGCGATCGGCGGGGGGGTTAGTGGCGAGTGGCCGCGACCACAACCGTCGTCCACAGCCATACACACGACGATCGCACTAAACGCGAACGTCAGAGAATAATAATTATCATCACCGTCACGTCAACATCGGGTCCAACTACCGTTGTAGTCGCTCGACAATGTGATAAGTGTGTGCGCTAAAAATCGAGAAAACAAAAAACGATGAGCTCACTGCATACAAACACGGTGGCAGCAGAAGATCGCGCGGGGACTTTGACGTCTTAAAAATACACGGCAAAGCAATAATTGCGACGTCGACGACTTGAGAGGAAACAGTCGCGAGCCAATTGACAGTGTACCCACACACAGACACGGCGGCGGACGACACGCACTTCCTAGTTGCGTTTGATATTTTATTTAGAACAATGATAATGATAATGTATTGCAGCAGGCAGGTGTCCGTCGCGGACGAGGAACAGCCGTCGACGGGGTTAGCGGATCACGAACGGTTCCGCGGTCAAATCGCCGTGAACACAAAATCTGTTCGTCGCTATGATAATAGCGGACACCGCGGTGACTACGCAGCCATCGGGCGCTTTTAACCTAATTTGCATAGCATCAACACCGTCAACAACCTACCCGCGGCCAAGAGTGGGCGCCGCGGTGAAGGGGCGGAGGTGGGGGAGGGGCTGGAAGTGAAATTTTCTTCGTTGTTTTCCGGACGGAAAAAAACGGGTTCCAATCGAAAAACCACCGACGAGACAACGTCATGATGATATCTTTAGGGAACAGGACAAACGACAACAATAACGAGTACGGCGACAATGGATTTATTTATGTGGACCGTCAAGGACGTGCGGCGTAGTGAGTTGGCCTCGCCACCGCCGCCGCCTCCACCGTCGTCGTATGGGCGACGCACCAAAAAAGGTCGAATTTTCCGCAGAAAAAACTACGGTTTACTGGACGGAAAACTGAGACAAAGGACTGGCGTTAGTCGACGTTAAAATGGCGACACCCAGGAAAAAAAATTAAATATGTCCGCCAGCGCGGCGCCATGCGCGTACGTGTAATACTCACCGATTTCTTCCTGTCCGCCAAGCCCGTACGACGTAAAACGTTTTTGCACTGTTCTCACTCGACGACGAGTAAATTTACTTTATGATGGAAACAACAACAAAAAAAAAAAAGAGACACTTGCGACGATTCCGCCTGCCGAAACGACTGTTCGGAGCGAGTGCGCACGGCGGAGAGTAACGCGGCGATACGTATAGCACTGTAGCGTCGAACGGGGAGCGGAGAAAAAAAACTATGTGTACATATATATATCACCGCGGAGCCACGCAACACTCGTCGAACTCGTCGGGCGAAATGACGACAAATCAGAAACGCGTATGATATCAGTGGTATGGCGAACGGCGGACGGGACGACGACTTGCACACGCACAATAGAAGGATGCGCGGCCTAGCGTGCGCAAACGCGCGATGACTCGTCGTTTTCCGGGGTGGGGAGCAGCAAGCGCGCCACCAGTGCGGCCGCGGACGGGGAATAAATCGCGTTGTCCATTTGCACACACCACACGCGTGTTCACAGGCGACTGGTGGTGGCAGTGGTGACTCGTGTTGTTCAAGAGGAGAACAATATTACAATACATTAATACAAAGCTAACTATATAGGAACTAAGTGCTGTAGTAGTGTAGTCAGTACTCCACATTTCTACAAGTTACGACTAGTCGACAACGGCTATGATGAGATAGGGAGAAATAAATAAACGGGACGGGAAACACTAAATGGCCTTGGAGGAGATGATAAACTGATGTGGCCTTTACATTACTATTTATTTATTATTATTAACTATTTAGCTGCTAGTGCACATTCACACATTGTGTGTGTCGACGGCCGACGCACACTCGTGCCATAATCCGTATGCGTGTGTGAAGACGATCGCCCGCAGCATACGAGTACGACAGTCGTTCGCCAACCAACCGGCAACGAGGCGTTTTTTACAATTTTTTTTTTTTGCGTCGTGACGTTTTCGTCTATTCAAGGGCCGAGCAAAAACTCAAAAAACTGCACACTTCATATTATATGAATGATTTCCCACAAATCGCAACGTTCTGATAGTATGAGTCAAACACTCACGCCCACACACGTCATTATCCTGACAAAAAATCCAAAATAAATTAATGAACAAGGCGTGGGGGATGCACGGGATCGATGAATAAAACTTAATTAATTAAAAATAAATGTTTTCATCTCTTCGTCTTGGCCCAAAACCGATATCATGAAACACATTTTAAAAACACTACGTCAAAGCCATTGATATTTAACTTATGTTCAAACACGAGTATCATTATCAATGGTCAAATTACGACGTATCGATTAATCATAATATAATGTGATATATATACATGTATATATATATGTACACTATGCACGTGTGACATCATTACTCGCGGCGTCACACGGCGGCTTTGTTCATTTGTTGTTGTTATTGTTGTAGTAGTAGTGGTAGTAGTACTCGTAATAATAGTAGTAGTGTTAGTAGTGCTGGTTACTACCCATATATAAACCGCGCCGGTTCGTTTCCGCGGTACACGCACACACTTATACCGTTGCAGTATATTAATGCGTTTGGTCTTTTCCTGGTACTGCTGCTGATCTCGTCCGGTTTTTTGCCGACCCGCGCCGTGACGTCACAAGAACTCGATTCACATTTTTGCGCTGGTGTGTGTGAAGGGCAAGGGCGCGCATCAGGCTGCGACGAAGTGCGAACTGCGGAAGCGTGCGCCGATGCGCAGTGGCGGTTGGACTACGCCGCGGCCGTTGTCGTCGTCGTCTTGCATTCGTGACTCGTGCGGTGGCGTCGGCGAATTTTAAAAATAAAACGACCGTGTCCGGTGGTCATCGTCACGAGTGCGTCTCTCCGGCGAGGGAAACATAAATAATATATAAAAATTTCGTCACGACAAAGACCGCGAATGAACAATAATAACGCATTAACGCGCAGCAGTCTGCGTACAAACGGAAAATATTGCGTTATTTATACCTACGACGTTTTTTATTACTCTACATCGAGCTCGTAGTATTTTTTTAGCTTTTTTTCATATACATTTTATTGTTCTCTTGTCCCCGCACATTTGCGATGTGCGCGTTTTTAAATAATTGTTCGTAGAATGACCATTGTGCATTGACCATACGACGATTCCTGCGACGTTCGAGTTACTGTGGTCTCTTTTTTTGTAATTGTTCAGTTTTTTTTCCGAACGACGAAATCTCAAGATCCATCAATCCGTTTTTTTTGTTCATTAAACCCTAGAAACTTTTTACATTAATTGTCGAGCCGTAATAGTTTGGACTAATGGCTAATAAAAAAAAACAAAAAAACCCTAGAAACACTGCAAATAGAAAAAATACCATTTAGAATATCGAAATGCATCATTTATAATTATAATTTGACTATATATTTTGAATTAACGACGCGGATAGTTGTAAAAGTTTACCTACCGTGCTATAGACCTCTAGTGTAGTATGAGTATTGACTATTGAGTAGTACCAGTACGACCTTCTCCGTTGAGGCACAGATTTCATATAATCTGTGGTTGAGGCGTTGTTGTTTTATGCTGTAGTTTGAATGTTTGATTAAACTTTGACTATATTTTACAGTTTAAGCGTTATTTCAATGAATTTCCAGAGAGAACCCGGTTTTATTTTTTTGAAAAATAAATGTTTTTAATAATATAGACATTATACAATGAGTACCTGCTGTAGCAAATAAATTATTTACGTATCTATTAACATTGATTTTAAAATACCTATACAATAGAATAGTATATATAGTATATTATAAAATCAATGTTATTAGTAATTTGTATATTTTATTCATTATTATTTCTTATAATTCAGATCAATAAAAATTGTAAATAAAATTATAATTATCTAGTCATTTTTTATTAAAAGGACGCTTCACCCACGTGTGTTGTCTTACTAGTGCGTAATATTGTAAATGTATGCTCAGCATTTCACGTTTAGCTTTGTTGGTTGAAAAAATAGAATGAATCAACCTATTATGAAACTTAAAGTGAAGAACATAATCGGTGTTCGTATGTCGGTATTTTACGATGATTCCGTTTTTAAACAAGTTATGTATCAATTATCAGTTTTTTCAATTTTCGTTATTTTATAAACCAACATACACAGTGAATATTCTACTATTAAATGTTATAAAATAGGTGGTTTTACTCTAGTTTTTAAACCAATGAAGCTAAAAGTTAACTGCTGAGCGTAAATTTGCTGTAACGCATTATGACCAGGACAACAAATTCCGGTGTAACGTCCTCTTAATTTTTTGGGAGTGCAAGTAGTAGTTTTCCTTATTGAGAAAATTTAGGCTTTATTTTATTTGTGTGTGTAGCACTGTAGCGTTTTCCATAAATTGAGTCAATTAGTAGGACCAAAGCCCTCCAACAACTTATTACAACAACTCTTATAAGAAAAATAAGATTAGAAGTGGTAAACTGGTAACTGTCAGCTGATAAAATTAAACTAGCCCAACGCCCAAATTCAACAAAGAACAGGTCTGTGAGGTACCTACCTAGACAGAAATAACAAAATACTATGTAAAAAACACATATCTAGTAAAAACTAATTATATCAATAATTAAAATTATTGGTAGGTACTAATAACTTTTTTTGACCTAATGTACGGTTTCAATGCAGAGTTACAACAACGGAACAGCACGGCATCCAAACGCTGCATGAAAAACGTACCTTACCTAAACTTGTTTTTGTGATTTTTTACTTTTTTGTATAACCTAACTGTTATTTGATTGGCCATACGAAATTCTAAAAAAAAAAATATAATTTTATACATTTTATTCTACTTTGATATACATAAAACATGTTCTATATTACATTTGTTCACATATTATATAATTAATTGTATGACTCAGGTACGGGGCTACCTAATTAGGACACTTGAATAATTGATTTCAATATCTGATTAGAAAATGATAACTATAATATCTATTAAAATATGACGTACCTAATAGCTATATTATTTTAATGTTTTTTTTCCGTCTGACAACAAATTATTAGATAAGGTCGTAATTAGTAGGATACTCAATAACAGGCGCAAATTGCAGGGAGGCTAAGCCCTCCGCGGTCCCTCACTCCCTCCCAAAATATCCCATTAGCCCCCCCCCCCAAAAATACAGTTTTATTTTAATAGTGTGTGATGATGCCTCTCCACTCACATTGATGTTAAAAATTTTAGCCCCTCAAAACCAAAAAATGTTTCTCCATCTTCTTTTTAAATTTCAACATTATAAATACATAATGGAGCCATTAATAATATTTCTGTTAGGATTTCATGTCTTCATTACACCATATTTTAGTTTTCTTAACGCTTTCTTAACATAAGATATTATTTTATTGGGTCTGGGTGTTGTTCGTGTATGGTGACTGCCAACTGGCAACACTAACAGCCAATCATTTTTATCAAACTAAAAAAAATGTACTAGTTAATAGGTACATCTAAAATAATAAATTGTCAAAAATTAATTATTACTAATTTTGAGCGAAGGAGAATTTATTTTGATTAAACTTAAAGGCCCAAGCCAGTGGCTGTGAAACAGGTGGTTAGGGAGTATGAAAGGGATAGATCCCTTATAACTTTTTTTTATGTTTTAGATCTGATAACTGTACATTATATATTTAATAATCAAATTGCCCATGTTAAAAAATCAGCTATACTCCCTTCCTCCTTACAAAATCATTTCACCGCCACCACCACTGGTAGAGTTTTAAACACAGTCAGTAGGGGATTGACTGACCGAATCCCATTGCTTCCCGTCAACCTTTCACATTAACCCCTGAACAGTTGTTTTTTTTCCGTAACAAGCATGAGTATAAGTATAAATAATAAAAATACTACAATAACATTATGATGACAAGACAATCAAATAAATAGTAACGGATATAAATGTAAATATAATAATATTATTAATTAAGATAAATGTAGCATTGGGCCACACCTTCTGATTGCGCGTTTATCTTTTTTGGAGCATATGTTTGTGAGTTTGAGGTTGTACATTTTTTAAAATTCAACATTCAACATTTTTATTTCTACATAGAAATTGCCAGAAAAAATGTTGTTTGAATTGTTTGTAATATGATATTACAAATTTAATGTATGCTACAATTAATGTAAAAATTGTGTTTTGTAATGACTTCAAACTGTATCAAAAATAGTATTTTTTTTTTAGCGTTTACTAGTTATTGAATTATATGCATTACATTAAAATAATTAACTGATATATTAAGAGAATGCTAAACCAATAACGAGGTATAGTCAATATTGAATATATAATTTGTCATGGGTA